GAAGCATTTTGAGGCATTGCCTCCTTTCGATTGAATTTTTCCATGTTTTCATTCTTGCGACCAAGAAATGGGCCCTCGCTACAGCTCGTGCGCCGAGATGAGCTCAGAGGGTCACGTGAGTGTTGACAGACGTTAAGGCAATTTGTGTCACACCCAATCAGTGGAGAGATGAGCAGATCAGCTCGGGAAGACGGTCGGGAGATGCCACGACTCCCAACGGGGGCGCTCGTTTGCGAGAACATTGATGTTCAGGACGACCACGCGGGGGCTCCCTCGCGCTCAAGCGCCGACTTTTATTATTTGTCTCCCGGCTTGCCGACGAGATGGAGCAGATGGAGCCATTGCACTTAACTGATTTCAGGCTGCCCCTGGCCAACTAAGTCACCCCCGTGTACGTTTGCTCTGCTGTTGCGTGTATGTCTCACTGGTGGGAAGTAACAAAGTACAAATATTTTGTGGCTGTACTTCAAAAGATTGTCAGGTATCTGGACTGGACTTAACCAACATTTTCAAATGTAAATTCTGAAAACCGATAGCTGTAATTTCGAGTTAGACAACACAACGTCAAAATGCAGAGACTTGTTCACTTGTAAGGTACCAAAACAATTCGTGGTGACTGCGTTGTCTTGTGACAGTCTAAAAACCACAAGCTAAAATCATGTGCATTTTTTTTTTTGTTTGTGCTATAATCATGAGCTCAGCATTAGCAGTTTTTACTCGCCGCTTCACAATGTTATCATTCCTACGGGAAAGAGCTGTTTTTCCTGCACGAATGCTAGCTAGCTCTTGGTAAAAAAAAAAAAATTATCTGTACTTCTACTTAATGTCATACTTTTGCTACCTCTGAAATGTGTCTGTGCGTGCGTGGCATGACCAGAACCAGGCTGAGGCCCACTACAAGGGTCACAAACACACTCGCAAGCTGAAGGCCATCGAGAACCAGAGGAACCGGCAGAAGAACAAGCACAACCTATCTGCAGCGGAGAAGGAAAAGGAGAAGGGGACGGCGGGAGCAAGTGGACCACCAACAGGCTTGAATTCAGACGAAAGAACAGGTACTACACACACACACAGACTTTGGGTTTGAAGGGGGAACCGGATTCCATGCACCTGCCCAAGCTAATATCCATATTTTGAAAGAGCCCACTCTCCCTCCTCTAGGTGATGACTAGTAATTGAGGCAGACGACGATGAGATGCCAAGTCTTGTCGCTGCCACCGCTGACTGATTAGCAGTTATTACCTGCCCTGCAATCATAGCCTCTGTCGCATGGCTAATTGCCCCCATCCAGCACAGACGCCCTGCAAAGAAGGGTTAGAGCACACGCAAAGAGCACCTGGAAAGCCTGGCCGCTTTTAGCTTTCATCACTGGCGCATCTGCTTTTGATTTTGCGACAGGGTGCGATTGTGGCTTTTTTTTTTCATTGCTGATTTTACATTGACTAGTTGTATCAACACCTAGCACATTGAAAAACAAAGAAAACATTGACATTTTTTCATATGTCAAGCAATGCTGTTTGAATACAATCCTGAAATGAAGCGCACGTTTTGTCCGCTCCTGCGCCGCGTCCATATCAACACCGACCGCAAATTCAATGAAAGCAACAAGGGATCAGAATGAATAACAACAAAAATATACACATAATGCAAGAAAATAGTACTGTGTTCATGAGTTAAATGCGGTGTTTGTATTAAATCTACACTTCAAATACCGGTACGTTTGGATAAATACAGTATTTGGATGCAAATCTAAATTTCAGAAGTAAATCTGAAAACACATTGAATAAATGAAAAGGAAGGAATATAACAGAAAAATCTCTCAAATATGTCCATAAGGATCTCGATAATAAAGTTTTTTTGTTTTCTATAATTAATTTTTAATTTGTAGTGCACCGTGCACAGCGGTTCGCCGTTGTTCTTCATGCTGCATGACTACAACTTTCTCCAATTTTTTTTTTAATGTTGTTCATTTCCCGACGTCCACATAATGGTAAGCTCCCTCGGTTGCCATGGCGCTTGATCGATGTGCCGTTGGCCATACAGCGTAAATGAACGACAGAGACGTCAGGAATGATGGATGAGCTGAAAACACACTCATCAAGAATCAGATGTAGAACAATATAACTGATGGGTGGGGAAAAAAGTCACATCAGTTGGTTCTTGGTTTTATCGTATCAAATACACCCGGGGTGGACTCTTTGTTATGCCTGTGCGTGTATATATGTTTTCAGACTTACTAAGCGTAACGCCACAACCGGAAAAGCGCCATGGGCGTTCCCCGGACCCCGCTCTCTCCAGTCCAGACACTTCTGCAAACCACTCTCCTCAGCTGTCCCAGAAAATGGCTCACAGCCCTCCGCTTCACCATTCGACGCGAGAGGAGACACCGATGGAAGGCTGCAGAACAGCTCCCGCTTCGGCAGCGCAGCCCGACCCTCGGGGGCCTCCTGCTGGCAAGGAAGAGAATAAGGAGGTGGCGGTGGAGGAGAAGGAGGCCCACAAAAAACAGCTCCACTGTCCCACATGCAAAGTGACGGTGAACTCCAGCTCCCAACTGGAAGCTCACTGCAGTGGTGTGTATTAAATCTGGACTGGACATGTCCAACACAAGGGTGGGGAATCTTTCTCCGCTTGGGGGGCCATGTCACTTTTTCAAAATTCTGACTCGAGTCTCACTTTACCTCATCCATTGACAAGTATACGAGTAGAGTTGCGTTTTTTTCTTTGTTTTTAACTGGGACGGGTCGGAGAGAGTCTGATGCTACTCAATGCAATGCTACATTTCACTCATGTGGGCATGACTCTGGTCCTGCATGCCCTTTGTGTCTCTTCTCACCAGGCTCCAAACACAAGCAGATGCTGCACAGTCCCAACAGCAGCCAGTCGCACCGCAGGGCGAAGAGGGTGTCCTCGCCGAGACGCCCCTGCCGAATAATTAAGCAGCGGATGGGCACCAACCGGGCCGGGGCGGCGACGGGCTTCACCGGCCAGCGTTTTCACTGTCAACTGTGCCAGGTGGCCGTCAACTCGGAGTCACAGCTCAAACAGGTCAATGGCGCTGAGAGTTTTCAGCAAAATGCTTCAAAAAACACTACTCACAAAAAGGGTGCTTTTATTAGAGCACAGCAATTTGTGCGGAAAGTCCTGCAAGACTGACGCTTGGATGTACATTCCACATTTTATGGACTGTTAAATGAAGTTCACCCGTAAAGCTTATACAGCAAATCTGGTTCATCCTGAAATCTCACCGGACTGCCCAATGTCCCTAGCTTTTTGTAAGTAGTGAAAGAAAATGTCATTTTCACCCATCATAAATCACGGGCGTTTTTTTTTGAATGTCTTCAATATGTGTTTAACAGCACATGAACAGCAGGAGACATAAAGAGCATTTGGCCGGGAAGCCTGTGAGGGTGAAGGCCAAAATCACACCCTATAATAAACTGCAGCCCAGCACTGCATTAGTGGTAAGAATTATACATTGTACATACATATATATGTTGTGTTTTGTTTTTGTTTTTTATTTTTTAATATGACAACCCCCCCCCCTCCTCGCAGTACTTGGTGTCCAAAATGTAGACAACCACTGCCCTCTGCTGTCCATTTTGAACGATGACCTTTGTGTTGCAGACGAAGCTGGCCTTGCAGAAGCAGCTGTCCAAGGCCCTGCCGGCAGGGTTCTTGAGCAGCAGCCTCAATCCCGCCGCTCTGTGCACTTTGGCATCCTCACCGCTGGCACTACGACTTCCGCAGGGCCCCACGGCCATCATCCACAATCCCTTGATAAGCCCCGCCCTTTTTAGGCCTGCTCCGGGACCCCTCAGGCCCACACACCCGCCCATTATTTTCTCTCCTTATTGACAATGAGGACAAAATGCCACATTTGACACATCGTCAATACAGTCTGCACACGCGCCAACTCAATACAGTGCGTCTTTGACTTATGGGTGTCCCAATTGACAAGTAGAAAATTGCATTCTACCACATTGCAATGTCTATTTCAATTTGATCAATTGTTGAGACCTAATTTCAATGGGGGAAATCTCATTTCATATATGAGAAAATGGAGCTCCTAAGTCAAGGTGAAGGTGAAGGACCATCACTCAACCGTTTGAGTGCATGTTCCCTGGGGTCTGACCCTATTGGAAGCCATAATAGTGAATATACTTTGTTTTATTTACCAGAACAATCTGTCGTGACACAAGAGTGCCCACCAATTATACTTCTGTTGCCAAATTTGAGAGATTTCTAGTTGTACTCCGGGAAAACAGTATGATTCCTGGATTAGACTCCGTATATCAATCACATGTCTTACAAAGCACAAAGCAAAAAAAATAAAATAAAAAATAGCTGAGTCACTTTGCATTGTAGGGTCGTCATCATCAAATACATACCGGTAAGTTCTGTTTGTCTGTCTGTCTTTCTCTGCCGTAATACAAAGCCAAGAACTTTCACCATACTTGATAAATGCATTTTTATTTCATTTAATAAGAGTGTAAACTATATTTGACATGAGCCATTAAAGGAGGGGTGGGGAACCTTTTTCCAAATTCTTCAAACGCTTTCCTGTTATGCTTTTTGCGCAATATCAAGACACAAGATGAGAAAAATCCAATTTCATGATCTGTGCTCTACTGTATCTGTCTGTTAAATGTTTTTTTAAGAAGCTTTTCCATCTTGGCGTAACTATCAAGTGCAATAATGTAGGCTACAATGTGATAAATGTGTTCAAGTGTGCATAATGTATTCATTTTTCTGTAGTACTGTTATTACCCAGTTACGGTTGCGTTTATTTTCCCTGCATTGAAACAATCAAAATTAAAATATATTCTTATTCTTATTTATAGAATTCTTTTCGACCCAGTAAATCTGAACCTATTTCATTTTATGTTATGTATGTTCAGCTCAACAAAATACAACATGTATTGTCGTTTAATCCCTTTTATAATGAGCGTCCGAATTTGTTTTCTTTTCACATGAAAACTTTTTTTTTAAACGGCGGCTTGTACTCGGAAATGACGTCACGACACCGTCGTCCTTTCCAGAGAAAAAAATGGCTGCTGTTGACATCGACGTGCCGGTGGATGCCGAGTCTCAGCTTCACAATGCCGGCGACCTGGAACGGTGAGATGGGAAATGATTGGGCTTTAACTGCGCTTCAAATAATAATAGTGTTGATTATAACCCGAGTTAGAAGTATTGGCCACAACAGTGCTATCTTCGAAGCTAACCTCGCCAGCGTGTCCCAGGAATTGAAATAACGTGTTCACCGCGTTGGTTTTGTATTCAACGACAGACTCGTTGCATTTACGTGTTATAGTAAAGGTGTAACTATACACTCAGAATCGGATGTCTATCCCCTCTCTCGATTCACGAAGTTGTGTGATCGCGTGTTTGTTTCGTTCTACACAATAGCGATCACGCGCTCACTGAAGAATAGTTGAGTCCGTCACAGTCATCGTTCTAGAATGAAATTAACGGTAAGCAAATATCAGCATTGAGTCGTTATTCAATACACGTACCGGAACTCAACAGTCGTCATACTCGTTCAGCAGCAAGTGAGGAGCCCACAGAATAACGCGTCAAACGTGCTCGTAAAATCCCCAAAACCATTTAACCCGCAATTGATTAGAATACAAAATGATTAACGTTTATACCGTACTTGTGGCATGGTTTCATTCGCGTATAATGGCCACCCCTGACCTACAATGTGTATGAACCCAAATCGTCATGAAAGTGAACCGCCCGTGTTCCAGCACTCTATAAAACAACCCCCACAATTTTTTGGAATTGATTTTTGATAAGAAAAACAACACTGTGCCTTTCTGTTCTTAAAAGTGTACAGTGAAAGCACAAACGAATATAAGACGTAACCAATTTTTGTGCCATGACTTCATGCTTGCATTCGATGGCCTGCTCGTTGCTGTGCATACCTTGGCCACCGGGGGCAGTGTAATTGGATGGCGCAACACAAAGACCATCGGTCGTTCTTCGCAGAGTACAAAGAATATATGCCCTTCGGCGTTATTTATTGTTTGTCTACGTGCTGTAGCGCCATTTATGTTCGTAGATCTGTTGCTGAAAGGGTTATAACCAAGGCCTGTCCAATTAATCGGCAAGGCAAATTTTCAGCATGATTCAGAATCCGTTTGAGTTGGGTTCTCTTGAGCATTTTTTGGAGTCGGTGAGTTCCCGATTGAGTGAGAGTGTGCTATAATGTGATATTTTAGGGAGCAGCATAGCAGGTAGTTCCTGCAGGGTGTCGGTCCACATTGTTGCCACTTAACACTTGACTCCCGTGACGCGGATTACAGGAAGTGCGTGTCAGCCCCTCTAAGTTTAGAAAGCAGCCACTTATCACTCTTGGATTTGAGATCAGTATTCTCATGGTGAAGGAACCTGCCAAGACCTCTTCCTTGACTTTTGCTCTTCCGCTTTCCCCTCTCAGTCAGGCCGAAGGCTTCAAAGAGCAGGGCAATGCGTTCTACAGCAAGAAAGACTACTCGGAGGCCTTCAATTACTACACCAAGGCCATCGGTAAGTGGACTTCATCCGTCACAAACCACTTTCATTGAAACTGACAGGAGTTGTTTGAAGTTCAGAGACACCTTGTCATGTTATCGAACGTAGGGGTGTTCCCAAACATTTGACCAGTGGCGTGCGTCAGATCGTCCATCTAATTCTGTCTTTCGTCTCCCGTGGAGATGCATGTCCCAAAAACGCCAGCTATTACGGCAACAGGGCGGCCACCCTCATGATGCTCTGCCGCTTCCGGGAAGCCCTGGAAGATTCCCAGCAGGCCGTGCGCCTGGACGACTGTTTCATGAAGGTGGGATTATCCAATCGCCCTCCTGCTCGCAATCTCAACCGCGCAAGTTTTTTTACGAGGTGGCCTCCTTCTTTCCTCCCGCAAGGGTCATTTACGCGAGGGCAAGTGCCACCTGTCTCTGGGGAATGCCATGGCTGCCGCCCGCTGCTTCCAGAAGGTTCTGGATCTGGAACCCAGCAACCGAGAGGCTCAGCAAGAGGTGGGAAAGCATCCACTTTTTCTTTTTTTTAATTGTTTATAATTAAATCACGCCGGGCACATTTTGTACGCCGTTGCTCATCCGCTTTTCCTCTCTCATGACAGAACAAGAATGCCGAAACTCTGCTGGAGTTTGAGCGACTGGCGGATTTTGGCTTTGAAAAGCGAGACTTCAGAAAGGTCGTTTATACTCTGTTCAAAACTTGTAGCACAACGCATAACTGTAGATGGAGGATAGCACATTCGCATTGAATACAACCACGGGCATATATTCTTTATCCTCGGCTTACTGCTTCCTCCACAATAACGTTGTCTGATTCCACCACGACGATATACTGAAAGTGAAAGTTGGGTCATCTTGAGCCAGGTGGTGTATTGCATGGACCGGGCCCTGGCCTTGGCCTCTGCCTGCCATCGCTTCAAAATCCTCAAGGCCGAATGTTTGGCTCTCTTAGGACGCTACCCCGAAGCTCAGTCTGTCGCCAGGTGGGCACTTCTCATCATGATGTTGGCAAAGTCCGTACATTGACAAGGATCACGTGACTTTGGCTTTCCTTTTTCCGCAGCGATATCTTGAGAATGGACTCCACAAACGCGGATGCGCTCTACGTGCGAGGATTGTGTCTTTACTACGAGGACTGCATCGATAAGGCCGTGCAGTTCTTCGTGCAGGCGCTGCGCATGGCGCCGGACCACGAAAAGGCCCGGCTTGCCTGCAGAGTGGGTTTTTGCCGTCGGTGTGCGTTTGCCGTCTCGAGAGCGGCTTCAAGACAAACGTCTGTTTCAGAATGCCAAAGCCTTAAAAGCCAAGAAGGAGGAAGGAAATCTGACCTTTAAGAACAACAGCTACGAAGCCGCCTATCAGCTGTATAGCGAAGCCCTCAGGATAGACCCCAACAACATCAAGACCAACGCCAAACTCTACTGCAACAGAGCCGCAGCAGGAGCCAAGGTATCACTTACAGATGACCTTGATTACCGCCGCAGCGGGTAAATGGAACAGAGCAATGGATTTCTTGTATCCTCCTCCTTGTTGTCCTCATTGACTTCCTGCTCCACCATAGATGAATAAACCCGATCAGGCCATTGAAGACTGCACCAGCGCCATCAAGCTGGATGACACGTACATCAAGGCCTACTTGAGAAGAGCACAGTGGTACGTTGGATCGTCCGCCCTTTTAAACTGAGAATTCGTCAAATAGCCTTCACAAGACCTGGTCGCCATAGTCGGATTTATTTTCTTTTCTTTTTTTCCCCATCTGCAAAAAATGCAAATTTAGTCTGTAAGTTCAACTTTTTATCCACCCCAAAATACTTTACTCTTCGCTAAATTTGATATTCTTGAAACATTCCATTTTTTTGGGGGGTGTGGGGTTGCAAAATGTGGCGTTAGTCTCGCAACATGACGACAGATTGAGAGAAATGCCGCCGTCTTTTACAGGCAACGTGCGCATTGGCACTTTTCTGACACACTCTTTGCCTGGCTTTAGTTTCATGAACACAGAGCAGTACGAAGAGGCTGTCCGAGACTACGAGAAAGTGTATCAGTCCGAAAAAACGTCCGGTAAGACTTTGCGCGTCTTTTAGCGGTCGACCCGCGGGGCCACTGACTACATACAGCTTCCTGTGCGCATCCAGACCACAAGCATCTGCTGAAGACGGCCAAGCTGGAGCTGAAGAAGAGCAAGAGGAAAGATTACTACAAGGTGCTGGGTGTCGGCAAGAACGCCACCGACGACGAGATCAAAAAAGCCTACCGCAAACGTGCCCTGTTGCACCACCCGGGTACGACGATGGCCGTTGATCAACGCGGGGGTCGCCCGTTTTCACCAAGCCCACCTTCTCTCTGCGTTCGGCAGACCGCCACAGTGCAGCCACCCCGGAGGTGCAAAAGGAAGAGGAGAAGAAATTCAAGGAAGTGGGCGAGGCCTTCACCGTTCTCTCCGACCCCAAAAAGAAGACCCGATACGACAACGGGCACGACCTGGGTGACGACGGCACCTTCGACGGCGGAGGCAAGTGCTCTCTCCCCGTGTTCATTTTATTCACATCTCGGACTTGCTGTTCTTGTGAAAGCGAACCACTGGATGGCGCCACGAGTCATATTTTCTTGGATTTTTTTTTGGACCAACGTTTCCATTTTTAAAAATGGACCTGATATCATGTGAAATGTTGTTACCTGTCAGACTGTGCTGTTTGTAAAGGTAGCATTTTTGAGGCAGCTCTTGGGTATTGTTGTCATCAGTAGTCTTTTCATAGTTGGAATGCTAACAATATACTTGTTTGTTTTTCCATTTTGTTTTTCTGCTTAGATGTCGATGCCAACAACATTTTCAGGGCTTTCTTCGGCGGCCATGCTGGAGGATTTACTTTTGATTCCAGTGCAGGTAAGAATTTTTTTATTTTTTTATTTTTTTTTTGTGATAACTTCAATGGCATTCTGTTTCTTTTTCTGTTATAATTTCTTTGTGGCCCTCACACTCCTTTGTACGTTCTCAACATTTAAATTGCACACTCGAGACTAACATTTTCCTCATCCCTCCCCCCAAGATTCTGGACCTGGGAATATGTTCTTCCAGTTTGGCTAAAGACATAAGGGAGCACAGGATTTCAAAACACAGCTCTTCAGTGTACAGCCTCGAGATGGATCCACAGTCACTTGAAAACTCTCCCGCTGTTCTCAAAACACCTCATTTTTACGTTGTTGTGCTCGATAACATGAAATGGAAACATTGTGTTTAGTTTTAGATGTTACGTTTTTTTTTTTTTTTTGTTTTGTTTTGTTTTTTATGGGTGTGCCAGTGAAATGAGCTGTCACTACCAGACCTCGGTAGATCCTAACAAAAGGTCTCGTGCAAATCTATTCAGGCTTCTTCCTCTCCTCCATCATCATGCTGCAATGTATATTTCGCCTGAATGTAAAGTCCATAAATATTTCTTTTCTCTCCCTATGTCCTTCTTGTGGCCTGTTTATATTTACCGTTCTTCATTAACCACTTGAGTTTGGATTGGATCTGTCCAAGTATTTTCAGGCAAGAGTTGGGGGCTCCTCTTCAGTTCGTCATTTGACAGTGACCCAAGAACTCACTTATTTGGAATGGCTCCCTACCAGAAGGAAGTGATGCGACCAGGTTACTCAACAGCCGGTTACAAGTGAGGGGGACTGTCTTGGTGTCTTCTGCTCCAAGGTCGTACTAAATCTATGGGGGGAAAATAGACCATGATCAAATATCCTAGATGACACGCATAGCAGGAAAACGAAAAGTACCACTTTTTTTTTGTTCCACCAGTTCAAAGGCCCACTCATACCGTGAGTGGAAAAAGTCCCAATTCCGTTGGCGCTTTGAATCTTTTATTTTTTTGCATGCTATCAAGGTTCATGTTGTTCTGATAAATAAAAACTCATCGTTTATTGTCATGCTGAATGTGTCAATGTTTTTGAGGACGTTATAGATCTTTAAAAGTCGATCATGTATGCTTTTGGAATGTGGCTTTGAACCCGAAATCTCAACAGTGAGACGTGCTAAACCCTCCGTGCCGCCTCATTGTTAATAATTTGGAATGAGCGTGACATGAATTCAGTTCATCATCCAAAGTGCTCAAAGTCCACTTCAAAATGTCCATTCCGAGTTGCCTTTTCAGCATGTTCCGGGAGTGACTGTGGGCGCGGCTGGCAAACCGCACGTGACCAAAATCTGAGCCAATCAGGCGGTCGCATGTCGTCCGACTTCAACTCGCCAGATTAGGGTCAGAGGACGGGCGAGTTTGGCGGCGGCTAGCTAGCTGGCTGGCAACTAGCACGTTTTAATGTTTCTTTTTTTTTTTTTTTTTTTTTGTTTTGTTTTGTTTTTTATGGGTGTGCCAGTGAAATGAGCTGTCACTACCAGACCTCGGTAGATCCTAACAAAAGGTCTCGTGCAAATCTATTCAGGCTTCTTCCTCTCCTCCATCATCATGCTGCAATGTATATTTCGCCTGAATGTAAAGTCCATAAATATTTCTTTTCTCTCCCTATGTCCTTCTTGTGGCCTGTTTATATTTACCGTTCTTCATTAACCACTTGAGTTTGGATTGGATCTGTCCAAGTATTTTCAGGCAAGAGTTGGGGGCTCCTCTTCAGTTCGTCATTTGACAGTGACCCAAGAACTCACTTATTTGGAATGGCTCCCTACCAGAAGGAAGTGATGCGACCAGGTTACTCAACAGCCGGTTACAAGTGAGGGGGACTGTCTTGGTGTCTTCTGCTCCAAGGTCGTACTAAATCTATGGGGGGAAAATAGACCATGATCAAATATCCTAGATGACACGCATAGCAGGAAAACGAAAAGTACCACTTTTTTTTTTGTTCCACCAGTTCAAAGGCCCACTCATACCGTGAGTGGAAAAAGTCCCAATTCCGTTGGCGCTTTGAATCTTTTATTTTTTTGCATGCTATCAAGGTTCATGTTGTTCTGATAAATAAAAACTCATCGTTTATTGTCATGCTGAATGTGTCAATGTTTTTGAGGACGTTATAGATCTTTAAAAGTCGATCATGTATGCTTTTGGAATGTGGCTTTGAACCCGAAATCTCAACAGTGAGACGTGCTAAACCCTCCGTGCCGCCTCATTGTTAATAATTTGGAATGAGCGTGACATGAATTCAGTTCATCATCCAAAGTGCTCAAAGTCCACTTCAAAATGTCCATTCCGAGTTGCCTTTTCAGCATGTTCCGGGAGTGACTGTGGGCGCGGCTGGCAAACCGCACGTGACCAAAATCTGAGCCAATCAGGCGGTCGCATGTCGTCCGACTTCAACTCGCCAGATTAGGGTCAGAGGACGGGCGAGTTTGGCGGCGGCTAGCTAGCTGGCTGGCAACTAGCACAAGTCGCCTTTCTCTAGCCGTGTCGTTTCCCCAACGGGTGGCTTCGTCTTAGCTCGGGAAAAGCAGCTGACTTGGTCGTCGAGGTAAGTGCGCACACATCGAAGCTCTTGGCGACGCGCTTCGTGGTAGTCGCATGAGGTTAGCGGGCGGGCGTTCGCGTGACGTGAGGGATGCACCCTATGATTCATGTCATCCTAATATAAGCCACAAAAAGATTGCTTTCAAAGCCCCTTTCGTTTGGATTTTCCCTTTGTTCAGCATTGAGTCAAGTCCCGAAAAGATCCTAACTTGAGGCGAATTATGGCCCCGGCATATACATCCGCTCTCGGGGTTCCCAAACTGAGGTGCAGGAGCTAAAATAGTTTCCGGAGTCACTTAAAATTGCTCCGTGCTCACAGTTTTACAGTGTTACTTCTCACTCGTTTATAGTTTGTTCATGTATCTCAATCATGTTGGTGAATCTGTATAAATTGGAATGGAAAAATGGGGTGGGAGGCATAGGAAGGAACAGGTTTCATTAGGCCAATTCCTATCTCATGTCTATTCAAAAATACTCAAATGATAAAGTCAAATCGTGCAAACGATTTGCATTTCACTCTGTGCTGTGCGTCTTTTTAATCAGGTGAAACAACTCGAACTGAGGGTGTTGGGAACCAACCCTTGACAGGAAAAACAAAAATGTGGGAATAATGGACGTCCTCCTCTGAAGATTGCCTCTATTAATAATTAGCTCACAGGCCGCTGTTGTATGTTATTAAGGCGTGTTAATGCCCGAACCCCCCTCCTCTTGCTCCCTTTTCATCCTGTTGCCTTCATCCACAGCGTCACGCATTTTACGCCTGCATAACTCCACAAGCAGTGGGCTCAACTGGCCAAGTTCTGGAACATCTGCCTTTAAGTCCACTCAAATCCATGAGTTGACAGACAGTGCAACCTCAAAGTCAGCCAGAAAAATAAAGTAACGTGCCGTCAATAAGACAGTTGCAGTTTAGCTTTGCCTGGAATGTTTTTTTCACATTTAGTGTAAATTTAAAATCAAGTCACCTTTTCGCTCTTTGAAGACTCTCGACGCAAACGCGACGGCGAGAGAACAGAAAAGAAATAACTTGGAGGCGTCGTCTAACTAACTCATTGTAAAACGTGTGCACGAAATGGATATTTTGATGTGAGTTGATGTTGTGCAGTCAAACAGGTTCCTGTGCTGGCCAAAGATCAATTTCCACTTTTACTTTAGATCATCACTGGTGCCAAAGAACCCTTCCAACAATGTTGAGTGAATCTTTTACATGCCTCCTGAGGTCCGTTCAGTCGCAAAAAATGTTTCTCTGTCGTCAAATATGTCGATCAGGCTTAGCGGGCTGCATTTATCTGTTTGTTTGTCGTCCTTGCGAAAGTTGGTCCGAGGCCAGTCGAGACAGTTGCGCAGACGAGTTTCACTGGCTGAAGCTTCTTGCGCTTCCTCCCAAACGGGAGCTCAAACACTTGAAGAAGTTGGGCAGAGGCTGAGCAGGTCTGACTGCATTCAGGCAGAATCGCTGAAAACTGGATTGTCAGGCCTCTCTTTGTAGTAGTAGTAGTAGTAGTAGTAGTAGTAGTGATGATCATTATTTCGGCGTACTTGCTGTGATCTTTTTGTTTGGCGGTGAGTCGGGAGATTTTTATTTAATGTCATAAGTTCCTTGGAAATCAGGAGTCTGGCGAAGAACGCGATCGCGGCAATATTGTCTGGAAATCGGGAGGGAGTAGCGGGGACTTGACGATCTGAATGACAATTTGGCATCTCTCAAAGGCTCCTCTGCGATCCACCGCTGCCATGTCGGCGAAGGCCATCTCGGAACAGACCGCCAAGAAGCTCTTATTCAACTCCATCTGCCTCTCGGCGGCTGTGCAGAACCGCTTCCGCTGTGCCGGCGTTACCGCAGAGACCGACTGGGCTCGCCTGATACAGGACCACGGTTGGCTGCTCACAGAGGTAAGGAAAGTCACGTGGATGCTCCGCGCAAAAAGTTGGCAACAAATTGCGGGATGAACCTGGAACGCGGGTGGACCTATTCTACCCCATCTTGCCAGATTTTTCAAATCCCATAAAATACCGTGGTCTGTGACAATATCAATATTCTTTCGTCAGGAAAAAAAGTTTGTTCCGAGCCTTTTCTGTTTTGGAGTACTGTACTCAGCTGTAGAAAATGGGTTGGTTCACCCCAAAACGGCAGTTTCTAACTACAAAAAAAAAAAATCCATTTTGGAATATTGCTGCGGAGACCTTTTCATTCTTTGCCCTCATCTGTCTCGCCACAGAGACTGGTGGTGAAGCCGGACCAGCTGATCAAGCGGCGCGGGAAGCTGGGACTGGTGGGCATCAATTTGGACCTGTCAGGCGTTCGCGAGTGGCTCCAAAGTCACCTGATGAGAGAAACCACCGTGAGTCGACTGCAGCCTTCCTCAATTCCCGTCCCGAGTTTTTCCATCGCGCTCTCTTGTACCAAAGCTCATCTGAAGGGATTTGGGAGAATGCGACGAAAATCTTTTGTTCATAACCAAGTACGGATTCTGAAGTCGAATTGGATGATGTTCATCCGGACCAAACCCTCAAGTTTGCGCTGCTGGGATAACTTTGACCTTTGGGTTTGCTGGATTCGAGAATAAAATGTCATTTCTCAGTTCAATTCTCGCCGGTCAAATAAACCGCATTCATCGTGCGGCCCCAGGCACGAGTGCGCATATACCGGGTCACATGTTACGTAATATGAGTGGAGGAGCGTGGTCTATTCTGGTCCTCTATACATGCAAACGTGCTCTGCCGCATGAAAGCAGCGCGGGAGAAAGCGCGTCTGCCCTTGACGCGTCGACATGCGCGGGGCGCGGCGGGATTTGGTCATGCAAGCGAGGTGAAAGCGACGCAATGGTTTGTTGATATGAAGTCTTTGTTTTCAATAGGTGGGCAAGGCAAAGGGCGTGCTGAAGAAATTCCTCATCGAGCCTTTTGTTCCGCACAAAGAGGTCATTAAATCACACCCATTTTTTTTTTTTTTTCTCCTATATCGGAAATATTGCTCAGTCAAGCTGTTACTGTCACTGTCATGAAAAGTGAAAGCTGTACAACTGCGCCCTTTCTCAGTTTCTTCAATTTGAGCCAAGCGATCTGTTTTGGACTCGAGGGTCACACGCAAGCATTGGGAAAAGCCTCTGTGTCCTTGTTGTTTGCCCCAGGAGGAGGAGTTTTATGTGTGCGTGTACGCCACGCGCGAGGGCGACCACGTGCTCTTCCACCACCAGGGCGGCGTGGAGGTGGGCGACGTGGACGCCGAAGCGCAGCGACTCACCGTGGCCGTCGACGAGGAGCTCAGGCGCGATCAAGTGACCAAGCACCTGCTCACACACGTTCCTGGCGAGAAGAAAGAGTGCGTATTGAGCTCCGCTTTGACAAGCAGCATTTGAAGCACCGTCATTGGCTGAGTGTGCTTGCCTCTCAGCTGATTTATTTTTTTTCATCAGATTGATGTTGTCCTTTTAGAATCCTGGCCAGCTTTATCCTGGGGCTCTTCAAACTCTATGTGGATCTGTATTTCACCTACCTGGAGATCAACCCTTTAGGTAATTGTCTCCCGATGGCCTTCTCGTAACTTTTCACGAACGAAAAAAAAAAAAAAGGTCTGAAAAAGGAAGGTTGCTCGCTGCATATTTGAATCTCACGTCATAATCATGTGAGTGAATTGGATCGTGTTTTGCACCAGTCGTCACCCAAGATGGCGTCTACGTCCTGGACATGGCGGCCAAGATCGACGCCACGGCCGATTACATCTGCAAGGCCCAGTGGGGAGATATTGACTTCCCGCCGCCTTTCGGCAGGGAAGCTTATCCGGAGGTGAGAAGGTGGACAGTCACTTTTTTTTTTAAATCATTTTCGCTATTGTGGGCTTGACTTGCACAGTTACCGTTGTTTTTTAAAGCCCCTTGGCCTTAAATGAGCTTCTCTGCATGACGCTAAATGGGAAGTGTCCAGTTTGCCTTTAACAATGTCAATTTACTTGGCAAAATAAAGCAGCGCCGTCGCGATCGAAGCAAAAACAACCGAGATACGGCACGTCAGGAGCCAGAATAATCCCCAAAAGCTCATTTAGTGAAGGACAGTTTGATCGCGGTACAAACTGCAGGGATCAAGAAAGTTTGTTCTTCTGTGGTGCGTCTCTTCCAGGAGGCCTACATAGCTGATCTGGATGCCAAGAGCGGTGCCAGTCTGAAGCTGACGTTACTGAACCCTCGTGGCAGGATCTGGACGATGGTGGCAGGGGGCGGAGCGTCTGTCGTTTATAGGTAGACTTTGAAAGAATGTCTCCTTTATTTGCGGCCCGAGGAGAATGAATCGGGCACCGCGGTCGACATCTCTGTCCTGCCCGTCCAGCGACACCATCTGCGACCTGGGCGGCGTGGACGAGCTGGCAAACTACGGCGAGTACTCCGGCGCGCCCAGCGAGCAGCAGACGTACGACTACGCCAAAACCATCCTCTCGCTTATGACTCGTGAGAAGCACCCTCAAGGTGCGTTGTGTGGAGCCAGCGAGCGACTCGGTGCTGGTCGCGAGACGAGGAGGTGACGCCGGACCGCCTTCATCTTGCGTTCCTCCCACAGGAAAGGTGCTGATCATCGGAGGAAGTATCGCCAACTTCACCAATGTCGCGGCCACTTTCAAGGTGAACGAGATCCACGGGACACCGAGCCCCACAGGAGGAACGCAGCGCGGATTGAGACTTTAGCCTTTCTGAGCTTTTGCTTTGCTGCATCTTCACTCAGGGCATCGTCAGGGCCATCAAGGACTACCAGGGTCCTCTCAAGGAAAACGAGGTGACCATCTTCGTTCGACGGGGTGGGCCCAACTATCAGGAGGGGCTCAGGGTCATGGGGGAAGTGGGTGAGTTTTATTGATTTGATTTGGATGGTTTACAATTATAAATGTAAAAAAAAAAAATGGAGCCTTTGAAAACTGATGCACCTGAGTCACATTTGTGCAAATCCTAACAACTCGAAAAGCCATTCACGAATTGTCTTATTTCTTTCTCTCTCCCTCCAGGGAAGACCACGGGTATTCCTATCCACGTGTTTGGCACAGAGACGCACATGACAGCCATCGTGGGCATGGCACTAGGACACAAACCCATCCCCAACCAGCCACCGATGGACGCTCATACCGCTAACTTCCTGCTAAATTCAAGCAACAACACCAAGGTAATTTCAGCACGCTAAGAGGGGAAGTTGGGGGTCAATTTGCGTCGTTAAGTTGCGTCACAAGTGGCAACGTGTCTTTACTGTGGCGCGCCAGACGCCAGCCGGCACAAGGACAGCCTCCTTCTCGGAAGACAGGCCGTGCGATGACGTCACACCGAGCAAAAAATCCAAAGCGGATCCCTCGGCAGGTATTAAAAGTGCTCGCGTCTCGTCTCGTCTGGCTCTCGTGTCTGCTTTCCTTCCTTGATGTCTTTCTTCCACTTTTCCTTCCTTCCTTTTTTTTTTTGGTGTGTGTTTGTGTGTGCGCGCTGCACAAACTGTCCACTCACTCACCCTCGCCTTTTTTTTCCCGTGCTTGTTTTTCTTAAGACCCTCTTCATTCATTACTGTGGCCTCTGAAGAATGTGGTCACAGGTGATTGGAAAGGTAAGTTTTGGGTGCGCCCCGCCTGCGCTGAGCTGCGCTGTTTCTGCACACGCGCTCCACTTGACACGGCAGAGGCGCGTTTGCATCATCGCGGTGCCTTTCGCACTGCTTGGTTGTCTGTGGTGCCGTTGAAGCTGCATTTTTTTGGAAGGGAAATATGAAAGGTTCCACTCAGCCCAGCCACGCTGAGCTTTGCATGCTCTCCCATCTGCCGCGTCTGTTGTTGTCAAATGTTGACAAAATAGTCTTCAAGTTGCACTCATTGGTTTTTTGTTTGTTTGTTTGTTTTTGTTTCCTGTTTTTTTGGCCATTCATTTTTGTTGTCGGGTCCCGTGGGCTCGTAGAAGTGCAGGCCTCATCGGGCTGCGGCGGAGGTATGAAAGGGGGTGACGATTCTGTTCATGTTCATTCCACCTTTTCCGTGTCTGCCCTGTCTTCTTTTTTTTTTTCTTGTCCTCAGCCTTCTCCTTTTATTGTGGCTTACGACGGCGTGTTGCTTTGTATTACTAACGTGGTGGACTCGTGTTCCTCCAAAGCAGCGGTGGGCTATCTATAGACCGAATCCACCATTGTTACCTCGCATTTATGGAAACCATCGAAATTATTTGAAAATGCAATATATGCTTCATCTAGAGCAGTCCAGCATCAATATTTGTTAGCTCGCCTAAAACAGAACAAATCTGAATCAAATAGATGCTATGCAATAGTGATGCTGATTATTCCATTTATTCATGCACATTTGTGACATAAGGCCAGGCACCTTTTTTTTTATATATTTTTTTTTATATATCGCGCATCTCATACACAAGTTAATTCGGTGCGCGTCACATTTAAAAAAAAAAAAAAAACATTTAAGATGAGTTGCCCTGGAGTGGTTCTTCGCCTTTGTTTGTGCAGTGTGAAAATCCAAAGTGCATCGTGTTGCACGGAAGGCGAAATGCGGCTCCTGTGATGAATTATCCTCCCCCGGCCCCTCCCTTCCGATGTCTCCAAACTGTCTGCAGAGTGACGTTCCTCTGTGCTGTGTTGTGGCTTCTAAGCAGACCCCCTTCCCTTTCAAGCTTCCTTCTATGACTGAGTACGGAGAGGGGAAAAAAACCAAAACAAATCTCTCTACCGCGTGTGCTTTTTCAGCCAAAGCGACCACACTCTTCAGCAAGCACACCAAGGCCGTGGTGTGGGGCATGCAGACGCGAGCCGTGCAAGGGATGCTGGACTTTGACTACGTGTGCTCCCGCGACGAACCCTCGGTGACCGCCATGGTTTACCCCTTTACGTGCGTTCCTCGCCGTAGAAAAGGCAACTTGTCGCTGCCGGCTGTCTTACTGGATGTCGATGGATTGGACAGTGGCGATCACAAGCAGAAGTTCTACTGGGGACACAAGGAGATCCTGGTGCCGGTCTACAAGAGCGTGGCCGACGCCGTGAAGAAGCACCCCGAAGTGGACGTGCTGATCAGCTTCGCGTCGCTGCGCTCGGCCTTCGACAGCACGGTGGAGGCCATGCAGCACCCGCAGGTAGTGGGCTTTGGTTGGACGGGCGGATTCCGACGAGCGGCGCGCGTCAATGCGTTTCCCTGCGTGCCGCCATCAGATTCACACCATCGCCATCATCGCAGAGGGCATCCCCGAAGCGCTGACCAGGAAGCTGATCAAGATGGCCGATGAGAAAGGCGTCACCATCATCGGGCCGGCGACGGTAATCGACTCGGGTCGTCTTTTCCGAAGTCGGCGAGCAATGAAATCTTCTCGTTTCACCTCCAGGTTGGCGGTATTAAGCCGGGCTGTTTCAAGATCGGCAACACCGGCGGCATGCTGGACAACATCCTGGCCTCCAAGCTCTATCGGCCCGGCAGCGTGGCGTACGTGTCGCGTTCCGGGGGCATGTCCAACGAGCTCAACAACATCATCTCGCGCACAACGGACGGCGTCTACGAAGGCGTGGCCATCGGAGGAGACAGGTCCGCTCGCAACCCCCCCCCAAAAGATGTGCGCTTCCTTCACACGGTGTCTGCCCCCTTCTGTTTAGATACCCCGGCTCCACGTTTATGGACCACGTTCTTCGCTACCAGGACACTCCAGGCATTAAAATGATTGTGGTGCTGGGAGAGGTGGGAGGAAATGTGGCATTTTCTCCAGATGTGTTGCGTGATTGCAACCATCTGAATTGGTGGATTTGGATGACTGTGTCGGAGTAATGCTTGGAACTATTTCCTGTCTTCATTTAGGTTGGTGGCACGGAGGAGTACAAGATCTGTCAAGGCATCAAGGAGGGCAGGATCACCAAACCGCTCGTGTGCTGGTGTATCGGAACCTGCGCCACCCTGTTTGCGTCTGAGGTAAGTTGGCTGCCGTGCTAAATCACGACACTGGCTTTCAACATGACAAGGCTGGCAAAACAGAGTGTTGACTTATTTATTCCTCGTCTCCACCAAGAATTAAAAAAAAATAATAATAAATCTCCAATCAAATCTGCCTTCTCATTCTTGATTCTTGTTTTTAAGCCCGCTCGTTCTTCGCACGTGTTCATTAGGTCCAGTTTGGCCATGCCGGGGCATGCGCCAACCAGGCGTCCGAAACAGCGGTGGCCAAAAACCAGGCCCTGAGGGACGCCGGAGCATATGTACCCAAAAGCTTTGACGAGCTGGGTGATGTCATCAGGTGAGAACGCCCTCTCCAGATCTCAGAAGTGTGAATCTCTCTCTGACCGTTCCTGAAAAACAGGACCGTTTATGATGAACTGGTGGCCAGTGGCACAATTGTTCCTGCCCAAGAGGTTCCGCCGCCGACAGTACCAATGGATTACTCGTGGGCCAGGGTAAGAACGCCATCTGATGGCGTAACCTAGTTTGAGATCTGTACCGCCTTACCGTGATCCTTTTCTCCAGGAATTGGGCCTGATCCGTAAACCCGCCTCCTTCATGACCAGCATCTGTGACGAGCGAGGCCAGGAGCTCATCTACGCCGGCATGCCCATCACAGAGGTCTTCAAAGAGGAGATGGGCTTAGGGGGGGTGCTGGGACTTCTTTGGTTCCAGCGCAGGTAGGCTGATGTTTTGCAGACCTAAAAAAAAAAAAAAAAAAAGTGTGTGTGGGTAGCCCCCAAGGACCACATGCCTCGTCCGTGTCACTATTCTAAAAACGGCTTTACCCGTGATTGCACATTGTGATTTCCAAGAAATGTTGTTTGAAGCGCTCATTTGACAACATAAGCGCTGGCAGGGCTTCGGAAAGAGTGTCATTTCTTGGCTTCCAGGTTGCCTCGCTACGCCTGCCACTTCATCGAAATGTGCCTGATGGTGACGGCCGACCACGGGCCCGCCGTCTCCGGCGCTCACAACACCATCGTGTGCGCGCGAGCCGGCAAAGACTTGATCTCCAGCCTCACGTCGGGCCTGCTCACCATTGTCAGTACCCGTCACGCGTCTCCCCTCTTGTCGGTCGAGCCCGCCATTTGAAGCCGGTGCCCGCGCGTTCCAGGGGGACCGTTTTGGAGGCGCCCTCGACGCCGCCGCCAAGCAGTTCAGCAAAGCCTTTGACAGCGGCATGCTGCCAATGGAGTTTGTCAACAAGATGAAGAAAGACGGCAAGCTCATCATGGGCATTGGACACCGTGTCAAATCAGTAAGTGCGGTGGCTTTCTTTGAAAAAACAAAAACCATTTCAAAACCCTTTTCACTGTACTGATTAAAAACGAGCTCAATTCAAGATGAGATCCCAACTTAGTGGAAATGGAGCACACCATAGCAAAGCATTCAAGTTGGCCTGTCGTCCCAGATCAACAACCCGGACATGCGGGTGAAGATTCTGAAGGACTTTGTGAAGCAGCATTTCCCTTCCACTCAGCTGCTGGACTACGCCTTAGATGTGGAGAAGATCACTACCTCGAAGGTACGACCGGCTGCCGCCAAGTCGGGCCAAACCATTGAAATGAATCCTCATTGACGTTGCCTTGTAGTTGACTGTCATTTGAAAATCGCAAAGACTGCGTTTTGCATTGGGCGTTAGGCTTTGCCTTTGTTGTTGTCCCCCCCCCCCCATCCTAGAAACCCAACCTCATCCTTAACGTCGACGGTTTTATCGGCGTGGCCTTCGTGGACCTGCTCAGGACGTGCGGCGGCTTCACGCGGTAAGAGCAGATACGCAGAACGTAAAGCACCACTGGAATGGCGCGACCTGGTGCTGTGGAGGAGTTGTCACGTCCACGCCAAACGGGAGCTTTGTGAGCACACTGGCGAGTATTGTTTGTCCTGTGACTTCCAGCGACGAGGCTGATGAATTTGTGGAGATCGGCGCGCTCAATGGCATCTTTGTCCTCGGCCGGAGTATGGGCTTCATTGGTGAGTCGTCACTGTACAGGTCCTCGTTTTTGGGGGGAGACTTGACAGGCTCGCCTTTCACTTCTGTCATCCTTACAGGCCACTACCTGGACCAGAAGAGGCTCAAGCAGGGCTTGTACCGACACCCCTGGGACGACATCTCCTACGTGCTCCCCGAACACATGTCCATGTGACGCACGTGCGCGTTTCACTCACCCCGTGTTTACTCTCTCGCTCACTCTCTGCCTTGGGAAAAGTTGGCAGATGAAGAAGTACGGTACATCCCGATTGGCAGTTCAGAGTCGAAGCATTCAGTCTCTTGTTTAATGGATGAAAAGGGGGAGTATACACTTAGACTTAGTTTTTGACAGCAGTTGTGGCCAGAGCACAAAGAAACGGGATTCGGATTGCTTCTGTATTTGGACCGCATGGTACCAGGTGAAGTTCAGTCTCTTGTTTAGTTTCTATTTATCATGACACCTTATTTATTCAAATGGTGGTGCAGGCCTTCATTCGGACACTCCATCTAGCCTTTTCTACCTTCCTTTCAGGTTTACTTCAGTGATTCTCAAAGTGTTTGTCGGGGCTCACTCTGGTGGTCCTTGAAAGAATCACGGGCCAGGTACAGTTCAGTAGTTTCAGATTTTGGTACGATTTTCCTAGATTTAGGCGCAGCGTTAACATTCACGCTAACTTGCAAGAATATTCTTCTTTTGAACACTGACTGTTCGACTACGACGTACGACCTTTGTTTCAATGTTGGCCGTTCATAAATCGGAAATACTCAAGACTTTGAAAACGACTGGTCTAGTTCATACACTCGCTTCAAAATGCCTTCCGAGTTCCAACCTCCCTGCAGTTTGTCAAAATCATGAGCCAAGTGAAGACAAAGTAGACTACCGGTACTGTAATCTCGCAAAAAAAGGAATTGCAGCGAAGGGGAATGATTCCCAAACTTTTACTTTAAAATGTTGCCATAACCTTGAGGTGTTATGCAACTCGCATAGCGTGATCCTTGTGTTGCTTTTATTTTACTGTGAAACCCCTGTTTTTGTTTGTTTTGTAACACGCTATTGTAGTGGTTTAATAAAGACCTTTTTGGTTTACTTTTCATTTGGGCTAATGTGTTGAATGCGAATCAGATGTAGCCAATATTTAATCATACAGTACTGTATTCAATTAAACTTGAATGTATTCTTTTATCAATGTGATATTCTTGAGTACCTTTTATTTTATTCGTTGGCATGTATTTTACATCTTGCATTCGGAAACAGGTATATCGGCCGCCAAAAAAAGCCCCAATCACAGGCGACGTTCACGTGGTGCCGGAAAATTATCTTCAGGAAACATTGTTGTCCTGTACCTCAATCGGCATATAAAGAGTGTGACGCTCCCGGAGTGTGAACATCCAATTCTCGGACAATTAGAATATTTTTCTCTACACAGACCCTCACTAAACTCTTAACGGTTATAAAATTCGAAATATTCCAATGAACGGTATGACAATTGCAGCGGTTGAAGTGGGTATGTGCATGGATGTCCACATTTTTGTGGCGATTGTTTGCAGCTTTGTGGCATGACGGACAGCTTTCACTGTCCGGTCTTCTGGTCTTCTCCATTGCGATACTAGTAAATAACCGCTAGAGGGAGCCTGGTCATCACCAACTGACCGGATTACAGTATCTGAGTTGAAAGGAGTCTTTTTTTTTTTTTTTTTTAATATGTCCATTTCTTCTGTCACCGAGGTTGTTGCACTTCCGCTTAACATCCACTAGAGGGCAGTGTGCACTTGAGTAAAGGGCCTCAATCGGGAGGTTTCAAGCCCACCCCCTGTTTTTGATAGTGGGACTTGGGGGAGGCTTCAAGACATTTGGACTCGAGTGTGGACGTTTTTCTTGTATTAGGTCTTTTTTTTTTTTTTTTTTGGGGGGGGGGGTGTCATTAGCCTTTGTACTCGGCTGGGTCTCCCCGGAGTGCACGCACGAAGGCAGCAGCATGGACGCGATTTGGATGTGCCTTTGGATCATTTTGGGGTTGTTTGGAGCGAATGGTAGGAGCCGATTTTGTCAGGTTTTGACTTGACTCGAAATGCGGTGAAGAGGCACACGTTACGATTGTGAATTCCTATTTGATTTCCCTGTCAACATCGTGTTTTGGTGTGTTTCTTGATGCAACAGTGACAGTCTTGTCATTTGTTTTACATGAAACTACGTATGTAGAAAGTCTACCGCAGCATTGTGCTGACATAACACTTCGTGTAACCTTATCTGTAGGAATCTTCTGAACGGGGTTTCATCATTACATCTCATTGAAATACTCGCATCAACAAATGTGTAACGTTTGTACAATTATTGGAGGATATTGGTTTTCTTTTTTTCTTCTGAAACTTTTTATAACATTTATTTTTTTCATCGTCATGAGTATAAATTGGAGCGATATTGTACTTGGGAGTTTCTAATGACGTTTTGCCGCTCCAGGTTCAAACGTGTGCACATCCAGGGGTGCGAGCACGTGTAAGCAGTGTTTGGCTGTGCACCCCAGCTGCGCGTGGTGCGTCCAAGAGGTGGGTGGCTCCGAGTTCCATTTCCCCAATGGAACCGGTGTTGTAAAATACGAAGACAAAATTCTCGACTCGGAGCGATGATGCCGCCGCCTCCTCCTGTCAGGAATTCGGTCACGGCGAGGCCAGCTCGTCCCGCTGCGACCGAAAAGCCAACCTGGTGGCGGCGGGCTGCGCCGCTTCGGCGGTGGAGTCTCCGTACAGCAGGATGCAGGTGATCGAGGACCGGCCGCTGAGCAGGAAGGCGGCGGGGGCCACGCAGGAGGTGACCCAGATCAAGCCCCAGAGCCTCCACATTACCCTCAGGCCCGGTGAGCCAGCAGAGATGCTCGAGAGAAACACATTTTCACCAGTTGGTGCATTTAGCATGGCTTGTTTGGTTCATGAATTTGCTGGGGATGTCGTAGTGGGTTGCTCCCTTCACTCGTTGGGGATTGGGTTTGCCGGGTTGCTTTGGGTCGCGTGGCTGCCGGCTTTCAATTGCCACTCGAAATGACATTGAGGCTCTTCCCGTATGTACGGCTCTCTTAGACGACGCCAAGCGCTTTACGGTCAAGGTGCGGCAGGTCGAGGACTACCCCGTGGACCTCTACTACCTCATGGACCTCTCCTACTCCATGAACGACGACCTCTACCGCCTGAGGACGCTTGGCAAGGGCCTGGCCGAGGCCATGAACCGCACTACCAGCAACCTGCGCATGGGCTTTGGCGCCTTCGTGGATAAGCCCATCTCCCCTTACATGTACACCTCCCCCAAAGAGGCCATCAGGAACCCTTGTTACAGGTACCGGGAGTGAACGTTGACCGAGCGCGGGCGAGCCGAGTCTACTCGCCGTCCGGGCGCGCAAATGCCTCCGCTTCTGTCGTAACCGAGTTCTGCTTGACGGACAGCATCAACACCACCTGCCGGCCCCAGTTTGGCTACAAGCACGTTCTGTCGCTGACGGATAAAGTGAGCCGCTTCACCGAAGAAGTGAGGAAGCAGATGGTGTCCAGGAACCGGGACGCCCCCGAGGGAGGCTTCGACGCCATCCTCCAGGCGGCCGTATGCAAGGTGCAAAATCGGGTCGCGCGCCCATCCCCGCGTGAGCCCAGCGAACCGTTTTGACTTATATGCTATGATCGGCCGGCCACCCAGGAGCAGATCGGCTGGCGTCCCGGCGCTTCCCACCTCCTCATCTTCACCTCGGACGCCAAGACGCACGTGGCGCTGGACGGGCGCCTCGCCGGCATCGTGCGGCCCAACGACGGCCGCTGCCACCTCAACTCGGCCAACCTGTACAGCATGTCTACCACCATGGTTAGCGTGCGGTTGTGTGTTTGTCACTCACACTCGGTGGGGTAAGAGTGTGTTTGTGTGTAGGGAACTCAAGAGAAGATTGCCATGCTTCCTTTCAACAGGATTACCCGTCTCTCGCTCTCATCACGGAGAAGATGTCCGAGAACAACATCAACCTCATCTTTGCCGTCACCAACCCTGTGGTTTCCTTGTATCAGGTCAGCCAGCACTTGAATTGCTGTTGGAAAGTGCCGGACACGTTTAGCCATTTTAACGGCGAAATGATGGACTTTTGGAAAAGCCATCAAGTTACGGCCCCGTCTGGTGAGATTGCAACCGGAGGCTGTCATGCGTTTCTCCGCATCAACTAACGTCCTCACAATTCGATTTGGTCTTTGTCATTTTGGCTCTTCGGTGTAAACGCCGTTTTTTGTCATTTGCAACGCGCACGCAGAACATATGCTGGAGCAAAGTTGAAAGTGTTGTGGAAAGTTTCTGCAAACTCAAGAGCGGCAGTCCTGGGCAAAAAAAAAAAGCAAACTGAGAAGAATCGCTGCTCTGACCATTCGGTTATGACTTAATCCCAAACATGCGGCGCCTTCCTCAAGGCTTCCAAACCTCACTGGCTTCTCGACGACATTTTTGAACGCGCAGTCCGAAGGAATGGAAATTTTCAAATTGATCACCCGTGCGCGGTGTTCTGACTCAGCGAGTTGCAGTGCGAGACAAAAGTGAATGAATGGCAGAAGACGGGATCAAGGGAACGCTCTTGAAAAGGTACAAATGCAACTTTTCAAGAGTGGGTAAGAAAACTAAATGCTGTACTGAAGGGAACGCTCTTGAAAAGGTACAAATGCAACTTGCTGGGTAAGAAAACTAAATACTGTACTGTACAGTCCTGTAGCACGGTGTGCTCCAAACTCTACCCGATGACATAGTTGATGTTTTCTGCAGACACGGCATTTGTTATGTTGTGCGGACTTGATAGCATGAGCGATCTGCCGGCCCTTCCGTTTGTATGTTTGTAGAACTACAGCGAGCTGATTCCCGGCACCACAGTGGGAACGCTGTCCAACGACTCCGGCAATGTCATTCAGCTCATTTTGAAGGCCTACGCTGTAAGTGTTACGACACCTTTGTGGCTCGCGGGCAACATCGGGCGTTTGACGCACACGGCGCCGATCCTTGACCCAAATTCCGTCACGGGGGCATCGGTGGGGATTCGGGGAGGGAGCTGTGTGTGTGTGTGTGAAAAGATTTGTTCCATCTTGGGTCGCCGCAGAAAATCCGCTCTAAGGTGGAACTGGAAGTTCTGGGCGTCCCGGAGGAGCTGTCCCTCTCCTTCAACGCCACGTGTTTGAATGGAGAAGTCATCCCAGGCCTCAAGTCCTGCTCCGGACTCAAGATAGGAGACACGGTGAGTCCGAGGCGGCGCTAAAAGTGACTTTGGGCAACGGAGTCATCGGCAATCTGTTAGTACGATAGAAAATGTCCACGTGGTGATAAGCGAAGGAATGAGCGATTGTCTCCTGAATACGATTATAACTTGAAGAGTTCCCTTTTTTTTTTCCCCCTTGTTTGCAACCTTCCTTGTATCTATTTGCGGTCTGTCTTTTGTTTCTTCCTCTTTTTGTCTTTCCATCCTTTTTGAATTTGGCTGCTTCTTCCTCCCACCCCAGGTGACAATTTTGGGCCTGCCCGCATGGATTGTCTCAGGGTTTCATTTTCTCCTTATATGGTCGACCCTCCACGCGCCGTCTTTGCCTGCTCTGGGGCCCGGACCAGAGTTGGATGTCATGCCCAATAAATATTGACGCGCGTGCGTCTGGAGGCATTCCTGCGTGTGACGTGGTCTTGATGTTACATCGACACTTTTCATTCCATCCGAACAAAAAGGAATGACGAAACATCTCCGGGGTTTTAATTGAGGAAAAGCGATACCGTTGTCATGCCGTGCCGCCCACCGACTCGATGAAAACCCCCCTCGGTATTTACTTGCGTTTCATTGTTCTTGAAGGTTATTTTGCGATGAAGACGCGTAACAATATTCACCTGTGCGAAATTCTATGAAATCCTCCGACACACGGGGGTCATTCGAGAGACAAATCGGCTGCCTACCACGATTGATGGGCCTCATGTGAAGACGGGTCGTTTGTGGTGAATCATCGAAACGGAATGGAACGTAGTTGTCGATGTAACGCGGGTTCCGAATGATGTGCGCGCTGGATGCATGGCCTGGATTCTTGGCTTTTGTCTTTCCTTTCAAGATACTGGGCTCAGCTGTGCTTTGCTGCCATCTTGTGGCATCTGTAGGCAATCCCCAACGCCTTTTTTTTGAACCGTAGCACAAATCCCGTTGAAAATGACAACCGGCGCAGCGGCGTTGTTGAAATGTCACGGCTTTTCGAGCCGGAGGCGGCCCGAACTCGGGCCGAGTGACCCCGTTCCGCTTTTGCCGCAGGTGTCTTTCAGCGTGGAGGCGCGAGCGCGAGCCTGCCCCAAACAGAAGAAAAAAAAGACGTTCGTCATCAAGCCCGTCGGCTTCAAGGACGCGCTGTCCATCGCCGTCACCATCGAATGCGACTGCAAGTGCCAGAGCAAGGCTCAGCCGAGCAGCCCCAAGTGTCACCACGGCAACGGCACCTTCCAGTGCGGCATCTGCGCGTGCCACCCGGGGCGCCTGGGCCCGCGCTGCGAGTGCGCCGAGGGCGACAACGGGCCGGCCGAGCGGGACCGCTGCACCGCGTCCGGCGGCTCGGACGTGTGCGGCGGCCGCGGGGACTGCGTGTGCGGCCAGTGCGTGTGCCACGGCAGCGACTTCGGCAAAGTGTGGGGGAAGCTGTGCGAGTGCGACGACTTCAACTGCCTTCGCGACAAGGGAGAACTCTGCTCTGGTAAGCACATTTTAAGCCATTTGCGATTGCGCTTGTCCTCGACGGGCTCGCGGGTGCCCTGCGGTCCGTCCAAGCTGACTTTGGCCGAGAGGAATATTCAAACAAACATTCACGCCAATAGATGATTTAGCCGAAAGATGCCAACAAGTGTATTTAAAAAAAATGTATTTGATCAAAATCCCCCTCCATTGAAACCAAGATTCTCAGCAACGGTTAATGCCGAATGAAGACGCCGTGCACACACACGCGCACTCATGCGTCTATTGGCAGCCGTCCTTACGGCATGCGAACTTGCCACGCACTTCATCTGGTAAGAATTATAGCCCAAAACAGTTCTCTTCTAAACATGGGCTGCATTCCCAAGAACCATGAGCCGCGAGCCGCACTCACTGTGAGGGCTCCGAGGATTCACCCGCACGGCATGAGGAGTTTTGGAACGCCAGGGTTCCCATTTCAAGGTGGCATGAACAGAAAAGTGGCATGTTATTCCGTGGAAAAAAAAAAAAACATGACATCATGCTTCATGGATGAGTCAGTTAACGAGGGATTTTGGCCCGTTCCGAGTTGCTGTCAGTCATTTTCCCCGCTCCAACAACATTCTCACGTAAGAAATTGACAAGAAGGTGGAACCAAAAGTTGTACACCATTGACCGCCCTGCTTTTCGCTGGCAAATGTTGACCGTCAGGCTCTGAGTGACGCCGGCGACTCTTCCGCTAACACGGTGCCATGAAAGGAGCAAAATGTTTGGGCGCCATCTCAAGGCGTTATAGAGAGCCTAAAAAATACACGGAGGGGTACAAATTGGCTCATAAATAGCTGCGTTTTTCAGGGAACAGCTGCTCGTTGGGCAGTTCGTCGGCGAATCGGCAGCGTCGCTGTATTTTCGTCTTTGAATGCCAAATTAAGACAGTTCCCACTTCTCAGGGCGGTTCCGCTCACATGCGACGCGTTGGTGTGGCCGTGGTCTCCTTTCCGATTTGCATCTCGACACCTCAATGGTATGTTTAGCCTGGCTCCCCAGAGCCTCCGCAGGCGCTCTGTATTCCCCCCAAGTGGACAGATCAACACAAAAATACCTTGGTGCTTACTCATGGCGCGACGCTAAAAATAAAGCCGCGTTTGGGCCGAAAAAGGGGCGGCAGAGCGGGACGTTTGGTGGAAACGTTGCTGTCTGAAGAAGAGGAAGCATCTTTCCAGTGGTTGGCTCTTTGGTGCAGCGGTGACTCGTCCAGATCATTGCTTGATGGGGTTATGGCCACTGTGGCCGCAATGCTCGCTGCACTGTCACTCTATTGCGGAGACAGATGGCGAAAACAACGGGTCCACAGATGTTTTTCTTGAGGGCTGGAACATGAAAAGACAAAAACAAATTATAATACATAAAAAAAAAGTAGAAACCTTTGGTTTTGGCTTTTTGAGCAGTATTGTCTCCGCCATGAAAGGAACATGGACGGATTGTATTGTCACATTTTTCAACAGTTCCAACAGACACATTCTCATAGAAAGGCAGAGAGCTAAAACTTTACGCGTTTTTGTTTTTTTTGGGGCTTTGTTGGTGGGTGAAAAAACCCGTTGACGTGAACGCAACCGTACTTTGGCTGCAATTCTTGAGCCTGTCGTTAGAGGGAGCCCTTTGAGAGCCACTGATCTCTGACGACATTGTCAATTGTCGCTCTCTTCCTCCCAGGGCACGGCGTTTGCAACTGCGGCTTCTGCCAGTGCGCCCCCGACTGGCAGGGGGAGAGCTGCAACTGTTCCACGCGCACCGATACCTGCATGTCGCACCTGGGCTTGCTGTGCAGTGGGCGTGGCCAGTGCGTGTGCGGCGCCTGCGAGTGCACCCAGCCCGGCGCCTACGGGGCCACCTGCGACAAGTGTCCCACCTGCCCCGACGCCTGCACCATGAAAAAGTACACGGGAACGTTCGCTCCATGCACTTTGGGATCCGACCTGGCTGATTTACTCATTGGGTGTGTGTGTGTCGATTTTCATGGCAGGGAATGCGTGGAGTGTAAACATTTCAAGAGAGGCAAGCTGTCGGAGGACAACACCTGCGCTCGCATCTGCAAGGACGAGATTGTGCTCGTGGAGGAATTAGGTGAGGACCCCTCGCCATGTGTGGGCTTCGGGACCAAGACGGAGTCAACACGGATCAGAAAACGACAAGCGCGTAAGGCCTCACCTTTGCACCGTAGCCCTTAATGAGCGGCATTTTGACGTTGCGGCCAGCGCTTCACGATACAAACGCGGTCAACTGCACCTACAAGGACGAGGACGACTGCGTGCAGCGTTTCCAGTACTACGAGGACGCCGGCGGCAAGTCCATCTTGTTTGTGGTCAAGGAGCCAGGTAACCCAAAGTTGCACATCCAAAGTTGCAAGTGAGCGTCTCCGGTCTCGTTCAGTTGTCGTGAAACACGTTGCATCGGACAAATATCGACAACCCAGGTCAGCGTCTCTTCAAAAATGATTTTAAAAGCATTGAAACACAAAACAACTTAAACAAAAGGGGGGGTGTATAGTGGTCAGATGTATGGACTCGTATTTATTCATTCATCTCCTAAATGAAGAGTCAAATGAGAAACACATGTACATTTTCAAACGTGTATTTGAGAATGAATAGTTCAATAGCAATGAAGTGTCCTCTAACTTTGGCCACTCTCCATTTTGTCTTCTTTCAAGTCATCCGCTAGTTGGGTGGTGATGGAGCGGGAAAGGGGCTCGTTTAATGGGCCCCAATTGCCCGCAGAGAAATTTCTGTCCCGGGGTCTCTCGCCTCTAATGAATGTATGCGTCTCATTTAGACTCGGCATTTGCAGCAGCGAAAGACGCTTGCATTTACCTTGAACGCGTTTGCGTCCCGCCGAGACGGGCGGCTCGTAAAACATCCCGGGTCCGGCTCCTCTGAGACGCGCTGACTCCGCATTAAGAAGGCGAGCTCAGCACAATGAAGGCACACGAGTGAGAAACTGACTTCAAACAGCAAAGCGTATGAGGGAAAGAGGTTAAGATTGCACGACTGTCCGTGTTTTTGTTCTGCGTTCCGTTTATTATTTTACTTGATGTTCACTGTTTTGTAAAGCGATCTTTATTTCATCTACAATTGGCCTGGCCCATTTTAAAAAGCCCTTTCCTTTATCTCCCACCACCCGCGCCAGATTGTCCCGAGGGTCCGGACGTTTTGGTGGTGCTGCTGTCAGTGGCGGGGGCCGTCTTGTTCCTGGGCTTGGCGGCGCTGCTCATCTGGAAGCTGCTGATCACCATTCACGACAGGCGGGAGTTTGCCAAATTTGAGGAAGAGCGGGCGCGGGCCAAGTGGGACACGGTGGGTTTGTTGTTGTTTAGCTGCAGACAGGCTTAAAAGGAGGCATATGATGCAATCCCCCCGCCCCCCCCTTTTATCAATGCAATATTTTCTGCTTTAAGACTTCCCCATTCAAAATCTGTGAGCTCGCTGACAGGGTGGACATTTTTGGGTCATGACAGCCTTCAATGAGCTCTTGGTGAACCTTCACGTAACCTAACAGGTGAAAAGGAGAAAAATGTCGGCATGTGGGGGCCACACACACGCACACGCTGCAGCTTGGTGTCTTTTTATTATTTGGGTGCCCCGCTGTTAGCCGCCGCAGCGCTACAAAAGGCAGCCAGCGGAAGGGTTGGCTATAAATTAGCTCACGTTAAGTGGCTTTTCCTGGTAATCGGCTGCTGTGTGGCTCCTACCAAATGGCAACAATTCATCTCGAGGCGCTCCCTTGGTAAGTTACCACACATTCGCCAGTTAAAGCCCCCCCACATGCGTAGGTCTTATAAACATTCGTAAAAAGGTATTTCCAATGGATATACAGCCAGAAATACCCTGCTCAGGTGAGCCTGACATGGCATCACAGAGGCTGAAATCTGATTTCACAAGATCAAAAAGTCTTGAACGCTGCAAAAGCAGGAGAATAGACTGAATTTGTGTGTGTGTGTGTGTGTGTTTCACTTCCAGGGACACAATCCTCTTTACAAAGGGGCCACGTCCACCTTCACAAACATCACATACAGAGGAAAAGACTGACGCTGGCTTGGAATCATTTCAAGGTTGAAATGGACTCCCACTGTGGGAAGGCACAAAATCATGTGCAGGTCTCTACTGTCACAAAGCAACAAATAAGTGATTATGTTGTAAATACGTAGAAATGACTTGTGTGGCACTCGATCACAAAACGACCCTCTGGCTTTTAGAAACGTTGTTTTTGGTGAGTGTTTGTCAATGAGTTACACATTGAAAGTTGATTAAAAAAAAAGTACTACATGTAATGTACCTTTGTTCGTTTAGCTTTGACAGTGACGTAGTGAATGGCTTCTTGAAATGGTCTTCCATGAGATGGAAGAGGATACATATTTGACTGGTGTGGCCATCTTTTTGGCATATCTGGTGGTGTGCAGTAAGGTTTTTAATCATCTTAAATGTGTGCCTACGGTCTCGTTAACCTCAGAGCATAATTGCCTCAGTCACGTTTCAACAATTTTCAGAAAACAAAAACACAGTCCCGCTGCCTCGATTTAACTTTTACGGATTACCTTGGCATGGACACAGAAAAAAAAAGTTTTTCTTTTGGGGGTGGGGGGTGAAATTGTGACAGTAACCTAAAAATTCCCGAGGAAATTGTGCTGTTGTGCTGTCACGTTAATTTACACGGAACACAAATCTTAACACTCGACTGCCATCTGCTAGCCATAAAGTGCTACTGCACTGTAGTCAGGTTACATACATCAACAATCTCATTCATGCATTGTTTTTTTAAATTCGGGCAACTGTATTTTGCTGCTTCAAACATAATTTTGGAGTGACATTTTTCCTCTTTCACATTTGAATTGTAAGTAAATTTAAAGCTTAAAATATTTTTTTTTGTACATTTTGAATGTTTCACTTTCCTCTAGGAATTTACAGGACTAAGGTTTTATTCCAACCTATATAGGTCTCGACCTTGAATAAAGTTATTTGCTAATGTTTAAAATGGATACAAATATACTTTTAAGGAATAAAACCTCTGTAAGGTTTTGAAGTAACACTGTTGGTCATGACAGAGGGCGTTTGTATGTTTTGTTTGAGTTTAGGTGATTGGTGTCAAGAGTTTGAGACTCACAGCTTAACCAGTGGATATTTTTATTCCTAAATAACACGCCAAGCCTCCCCTTCTTGGGTGTGATTTCGGAAAGTATAAGTCCAAGGTCGAGTCATTATTTGCTTAAGATTACTTGGATCAGTTGAGAATCCGAGAGCGGCACCGTCGGTCGATCTCCCCAGGTTCGACTCATTCTGCGGGGCTTTCCGATCGGCAATGACCTCAACTTCACACCTTGTGGAAGACGGCTTTAAATTGCTATAGACGAGACATTCAAAGGACAGTGCGGTGATGTGACGAGTGCCACCGAACAGGAGGAGGAGAAGTCGGGGGTCGGAGGTGGCGGGGGATCAGGGCCATCAATGGTCGAGAGTCGGGGGTCTCCGGACACCCGTGCGGAGGTACCGAGACCTGGAGGAAACCCCGAGGATCACGGCCTCTTGCCCGGATGACACCGGCGGCCACCGGCCGGACTCAGCTAGCGTCCGCTAAGCTAACTAATGTCTTCCAAGGAGTGGCAAGAAATGTAGCAAATGACTTGTTGGATTTTTTTCATTGCAGCGAGTGTGCGGGACTTGTTAGGGGGGTCTTTTGGCCGCCGGATGGAAGCCGCGGAGCTCCTAAGCTTCGGGCCGTGATTGACAGTTTAAAGAGCTAAACGCTCCCCAGGTGAGACCAACTGGACGGCTAATGCTAACACGGACTAGTTAGGGTTTACCTCGATAAAACATCGTCATGATACTAAACGGAGACTTTCGTACCCACGGACCGTACGAACACTTGTTCAACTTTCCGCTAAGTGTTCGTCAAACCACGGACACTTGTTTTTCAGGTTGTTGTCAATTCATAAGATGTAAATTAGCATGCTAAATTTCGTAACTGTACTTGTGCACTGTGCACTGGCTAACGTTCTCCTCAGCGAGTTTGTTAGCAATGTCATAGTGTGTGTGAAAACATGAAACAACATGCGTCATTAAAAGGGGGCTCAAACGTGTTTTGAAAGTTTGAAGCCAGGGTATGTCTCGCAAGTGTTTCTGGCTCGCTGGTTCATAATACTGAAGCTGTCGTCGACTGATTAAATGTCATTCATTAAAACGTAATCAGTTCACCAGCTGATATGTCGTCATCCAAGGTTGTGTTTTTCGTTCGTTAGATCATCTAATGGTCATTGAGAAGTAAAATTAGAAAGACAGAAACTAAATTCCAGGTTCATATTTTAAATAGGAGTATAAAAATAAAGAGACCCATATAAATCATACCAAAGCCTGTTCCTGTCATTTGAAGGGGGGGGGGGGGCGTAACCTTTTGTATTCATTGTAGACAGACAGGAGAGTGTACTTGGTGCCAAGTGGCAAGTATAATATAATTGAGAGTGATGTATCACAATTTAGATGAATTATACAACACCCTCAAACATCTGTTCATACACATCATTCATCAATTTTCTCGACTGCTTCATCTATGTATGCAGAGTACAATAAATGTGTTCATCATGTCACATTTGAACTAAAGAGCTGAACTTTTTCTCATTCTTTGGAAATTGGCGCCGCTCTCGATACACAATTTCTATTTCGAGCAATTGGCATCCATTTAGAAAGTTATGTAATTGGGAACACTGTTGGTCAGACTGCACAGGACGGACAAGTTGAGCAAGTTGCTGAACTTGAAAGGCTAATCGACTTGTTTGTTTTGGCTTCTTTTCTCAAGGCGCGATGGAAGGACTTCACGGCCAAGCTCTCAGCTTGGACCCTCGCAGGCAAGAATTGCTCGAAGCTCGCTTCACTGGAGTTGGGGTGACCAAGGTCAGTGGACTCAATCCCTGCCAAAATGTACAATTCCAACAGACATTCTCCAGCTAACAGTATATGCCTCCAAACTCTCCTTTTACACATTTCAACATGAACCCCGATCCAAGCACTGACTTCAGAAGTGTCTTTCTCATCATATTTTGGCTTCCCTTTTTTTTTTTTGGAGCTACACCAGAGGGATGCAATGAAGCCACATATAGAAGCAGAACTACAGCAAATAGAATGGCGCACATCTGTTGTGTTCTAAATATAAATGGCAGATGACGCAGGGATCTAATGTCTTGTCCTGCATTCTGCTTTCCAGATCAACAGTGAATCATCCAGCCAGTCTCTTTGCAGCCTGGGCTCCCTTAGCGACAAGGAAGTGGAGGTTGGTTTGCTCCTGTAGGATGGCAGACTATCACTTTCAGATAGACATGTTGTCGCTCATTCTTCTGTCGTAAATTAGGTGTGATGACCGCGTTGTTTGGGTACACGCGGACAATCCAGCGAGAGGCAAAACACGAGACGTGTTCAAAAAGGATGACATAACCCTTTGCCGTATTAGTTGGTACAGACGAGGGCGGCAGCAATCAAACGTTTTCTGAATCGGTTATTCCACCAATTATCCGATCAATTAATCTGATTTTTAAAAAAAAAATACATTTATGATATGAACGGAAATCTTAACATATTTTGATGTGTTTTGTTGCAATCAATAATTTGTATGTTATGTAAAATAACAAAATGGCTGTTTTGAACCACTTTGTGTGCATTGCCAATGTCTGTTTTCAGCTGCCGGAGAAGAAGGCCGAGCACAGAAGCAGGAAGAGAAAAGCAGACGCCTGTGACACCAACAGTCAAGGTGAACGGAATCTGCGAGTAAACCAGTCGCACCCGGACGCAAGTCGGCCAGCGGAATGATCTTGAATTACGTTCATACGTCCCTTCTTGTTTGCTTTGCAGGAAAGGGACGAGGACACAAGACGAGTGATTATTTTGAGGTGAGCAGAAATACGAGTCTCGCTCGTAGCTTCCAACAGTAAAGGCACAACTCTTCCTGCCTTTTTTCTTTCTTTCTTTCTGACTTGAAACCTCGCACCCGCTGTGCGGCCAGTTTGCCGGCAGCAGCGGTTCCAGCACCAGTCCGGCCCGCGGCGTCCCCGTGCTGGTGCGCTGCTGCTTTTCCCAGCACTCGCTGTCCTATCCCTCGGTGAGACTCGGCTTTGCCCCTCGAATCGAGAGCTTTGAACAACAAGCAGAGTTTTCTTTTTTCATTTCTTTGACTCCACATTTCCGCCCTCCTTTTCTGGAATATGTTCCACTTCCTATCTGTACTTTAGACTCATCGATTTGGTATTTTGTTCCCTGTAAGACTCCTCTTCTCCAGAGGGTCTGCTAAAATATCGCAGAATATTTTTTCATGGCAATATTTGAAATCATCCATGTTTTGTTCATCTTTTCTGTCTTTGCGTTTTCTAGTTGCAGCAGAGCAGTCCTTCGTCGGCAGGCTCGGCCCACACTGACTCGTCGTCGTGCAGCTCCGTCAAGATGGCCCCTGCGCACTTTAGCTCCCACAAAGCCACCCAGGTAACAAGACCACCTGTCGCATTTTCACCCCAAAAGAGGCGACGATGACGACCTTGACCTTTCATCCGCTTTTTAAATGATTATGATTGTGAGACTATGGCCAGGAAGCGTTGACGGCGCTTTGCCTTTTCCACATTAGGTTACGTTACGGCCTTGTTGCCAGATGGACTCATTTAATGATTTTCCCACAAACGTCTCCACACCACAGCGCATGATAACAGTCTGCGGGGGGTCTTATGGCGCATTAAAATAACCCGGCTGACGCCACGAGCCCATGTCAAGAATCTAGAATGACTGAACCGAACCGAACGTGACCGACGTGTTTTTGTTTTGCTGTCCTGGCCAAAGTCTGAGCTGACACTGCTGAAGCTGACGGCGCTGGAGAGAAACAAGAACTCCGACCTGGAGAAGAAAGAGGGGCGGATAGATGACCTGCTGAGGGTAAGCCGGAGGCTCGGGCTGATGCGCAATTGTTGTGGTCCTATCGAGTCGGTGATGAAGTTGAGTCCGATTCTTTGCAGTAGTTGACGGGGCAGACCTGGGTGAATTAATAGCTGCTGATGTTGCAGGCGAACGGCGACCTGCGGCGGCAGGTGGAAGAGCAGCAGAAGATGTTGGAGCGCTTCAAGGAGCGTCTCAACAAGTGCGTCACCATGAGCAAGAAGCTCCTCCTTGAAAAGGTTTGTGGGGCACATGGGGTGATGCCTTGACTTCCGAGCAGTCCAACTTTCAAAGGTGTACGAGGGAGGCAAGCCCCCCCCCCCGCCCTCGCTGCCCATTCAAACTCGTCTTCAAACTCATTTTCATCCCTCGACTTTTGACTCCGCATGAGACTTGATTTTGGTTTGACCGCTGTTTCCACTGTTACTTGGAGCCCTGTTTCCTGATGCAGGCTTCTTTTGTTCCTTCCAAATGTCAGTCAAAGCACGAGAAGAGGACACGGCGGGACAAGAGCATGCAGGATCGTCTGCGCCTGGGCCACTTCACGACGGTTCGACGCGGCGCCTCCTTCGCCGAGCAGTGGGCCGACGGAATCGCTTTTCAGAATCTCATCAAGTCAGCGCGCGCCCACCGACGCGGCGGTCCAGTTTGGCGCATCGGGCGGAGCTTTGTCGCTGATGTGATTTGGGCACTTTTCAGGCAACAAGAGCGCATCAACTCGCAGCGCGAGGACATCGAGAGGCAGAGGAAGCTGCTGGGGAAAAGAAAGCCGCCCCCCGTGGCTCCCGTGCAGCCACCCAGCACCGAGCACAACAAACGAAAGGGCAGGAGCAACGGCCAGGAGAGTGAAGCGTAAGGCTGATGTGACAACGGACCATCAAATTTGCCTCCGTGTAGATGGCTATTTCTTTCTCTCAATCTGACTCCACATTTTCCCTCGCAGGCTGTCACTAGCGGAGTATCATGAGCAAGAGGAGATATTCAAACTCCGGATTGGTCATCTAAAAAAGGTAACTCAACTCCTGCGTGGAATTAAAAAAGAAAAAAAACAATCAAAGGCCAAAACACAAGTCCAATCGAAGCACGAAAGCGGCGCAATGACGTATGTGCGCGTCTTTGCAGGAAGAGGCGGAGATCCAGACGGAGCTGGAGCGGCTGGAGCGAGTGCGCAATCTGCACATCCGGGAGCTGAAGAGAATCCACAACGAGGACAATTCGCAGTACGTGTCCCGTCTTTCGAGTGGACGGCCATAACTTCAGGCACACGTTTCTCACGCTAAAGCGCTCTGGCTGTAGATTTAAAGACCACCCGACGCTGAATGACAGATATCTGCTGTTACATCTACTTGGAAGAGGGGGCTTCAGTGAAGTTTACAAGGTGGGAGCGGGAGCACTTTACTATTTATTCCATGACATCAGATTTTTCTTGTTTAATCTTTAGATGATTTCCTTTTTTTTTTTTTTTTTTGTCCTCCCCAGGCTTTTGATTTAACCGAGCAAAGGTATGTGGCCGTTAAAATCCACCAGCTGAACAAGAGCTGGCGGGAGGAGAAGAAGCAGAACTACCACAAGTGAGTAAAAAGCCGCCATTTTGGCGATCCCTCATGTGTTATTGGCTCTTTATTTCAGTCAACTGCAAAACAAAAAAAAAAATTCTCAGAGCCCAGCCCTAATCAATGGGAGCGGCCTCTTTTGTACAAATAATTGCCCGTTTAATAACCTTTTAACACACAGTATTAAATACTGTTTGAGTACCTTTTGCAACTCAAAAATAAAATGCAAAACACCAATGACTTACTTTTCTGGTAACCATCTCTAAAAACAAAACAAATAAAGTCCATATTTTTGTGTTTTTCCCAGGCACGCCTGCCGAGAGTACAGAATCCACAAAGAACTGGATCACCCTCGGATAGTCAAACTGTACGACTACTTCTCGGTCGACACGGACTCGTAAGTGCTTTCGCAGCGTGTTAATGATGGCATTCTTTTTTTCAAAATGGATGGATTCCTCGATTGAACGTTTATTGCCGACATGTAGTACTGTAAACAACCCAAAGAAATTACAAATACAATCGTGAATATGATCCGGCATCGATGGCGAGCCCAAATGGGCAAAAATAATAACCTGCACCTGTCATAATAATTGATTCGATCAGTTGCGGAATACTCAATTCTGATCATGTATTATACAGCGTTTGAAATGTACTCCTCCCCCGGTTGTGATTTTTGCAGGTTCTGCACTGTGCTGGAGTACTGCGAGGGCAATGACCTGGACTTCTACTTGAAGCAAAACAAGCTGATGACAGAGAAGGAGGGCCGCTCCGTCGTCATGCAAATCGTCAACGCGCTCAAGTACCTCAATCAGATCCGCCCGCCCATCATCCACTACGACCTCAAGCCAGGTATTCGGTCTTCACGTGAAAGCACGGCGACGCGTGCGTTCTTCTTCATCTTTTCCGCTGCAGCCGGTCATCACGTACCGTTTCAGGAAACATCCTGTTGGTGAACGGCTCCGCTTGCGGCGAGATTAAGATCACCGACTTCGGCCTGTCCAAGATCATGGACGACGACAGCTGCGCTTCATCGGAGGGCATGGAGCTGACCTCGCAGGGGGCGGGCACCTATTGGTACTTTGCGCTCGACACGGCGCGACGGCGGCAACGCGGCCGCTCGTATTCAAAGAGAGGTGCCGTGTGACCTCCAGGTACCTTCCTCCAGAGTGCTTCGTGGTCGGCAAGGAGCCTCCGAAGATATCCAACAAAGTCGACGTTTGGTCGCTTGGGGTCATCTTCTATCAGAGCTTATACGGACGCAAGGTAACAGGAATATTCAAGAGATCGTGTTTTTTATACAATGATTTTATCTGGTTAATATGAAGAAACTTTATTTCGGAAGAGTAAGATTTTTCTTTTTCTTCTCTTAAGAAAAGTCAAGTCACATTTCTTTCTATCGCCCTTCATCCCTGAGGGCTTCGGGTGCCCACAGTTGACAAATATGCACGACATCCCTTGACTTTAACCCCCGGGAGGGCAAGGAAACCCCCCCCCCCCCACACACACACACACAGGCAAAAATGACAAACGACACGTGTCGTCTTATCCCAAAATATTATGCAACATTCTTTTTTTTTTCCAAAGAAATGTATGTTAGGTTTTGTTGTGTACTTGACACATTTTTTTTCTTTACGTAAAATGGAAGATTGTTTTCACCATTTGAGTTTGTCTGTTTCTTTCCTCCAGCCATTTGGTCACAACCAATCCCAGCAGGACATCCTCCAAGAGAACACCATCCTCAAAGCTACCGAGGTGCAGTTCCCCCCAAAACCCGTTGTCACCCCGGAAGCGAAGGTATGCCGCTCAAATAAATGGAGGCAGTGTTTCCCCAACCTGCATCGAGCCATCCAGCGATCCCTCGGATGCAGTCGCTTTATTTTATGCCTTCGCAGACGTTCATCCGTCGCTGCCTCGCTTATCACAAGGAGGACCGCGTGGACGTGCTCCAGTTAGCGCGGGAACCTTACCTGATGCCCGCCATCCGAAAGACCCTCGGCGGTGCCGCCGCTATTGCTGGCGCGTCGCCTGCCGCCCCTCCAGGCGCCCCCCCTTTCCCCTCCACCTCCGGCGGCTACGGAAACAGCGCTTCCAACTGAAGTCACACATTGGACAGAGGGCGTTGACGTCCAACGTCGCTCGTACTAATGCGCCGACTCACTTTCAGGGGCTTCACAAAGCAGCATCTCCCAATCTTTAGTGGGCCATGGAACATATTTTGCAGTAGGCAAATCTCACGCATTGCCACCAAGTAAAAAAGGAAGAGCATTTGATTGTTGTCCCTGTCACGATACATCGCTGGCATAGATCGACTAACAAAGATGTGTTTGGAGACAGTTTCCAGTGGCAGAGGTTGGGAATCGCTGCTCGAAAGCACCCACAAATTTGCTCAAGTGCGACGCATCTGTACTGTGGAAGGAGTATGACGAGTACGGGGTCAAATCTTACTAAGAAGACATTGCAAGTATTTACCCCGCCGCCCCATTGACTTTTATTGAAAGGGCTCCCACAGCAGTGACTGAAGACCAAAGTAGACAACAACGGGGTGGCGGGGGGCAGATTATTTTCAATTTCAATTCAACCGGAGGCTATCAGCTGATGTGAATATGAATTATCCCACCAAGCTACTCCTGCTTCAAATCATGCTTTTAAGAAAGGGGGCTGGGGGTCGTATGAGTGTTATGCAGAGCGAAAATATTCTCAGAATGATAGTATGTAACCATTAAAAGAAATATTTGGTTACCCCACTTGGACTGTTTTGATACAGGAATGCCTCCGAAAACAGATTCGTGGAAATCAGGCTTTTGGGATCACTGCTTTTTTTTTTCCTTTTTACTTTCTGAATGATGATCTGAAAGCTCACAGTTTGTGTGTCCTGATCTCAACATTCATGTATTTTCAGGACTTCCACAAATCTCACGGTCCTGCCCCCTGACCAGCTTGGAAATATTCAACACGGTACTGCCAAACTTTTTTTTTTTTTTTATTTTGGGCCAGTGCCACATAGTAAGGGTGTCAATTTTCGGGTGTCATTTTGAGGATTCGCCAAAAAGAGGGCACTCAAAGGCACTGTCATTTCCGTGCGATTTTTATTGGTTGTATTTTTGATCAAGTCCATGTATAAGTGTGTGTGTTTTTTATTCATGTGACAGCAGCTCTTTCCAGAGAATATTTAGAAAGTTACAAGTATCAGCTCTCAGTGCAATGTGTCTTATCATGATGCGTTATGAGCATGATGTCAAATGTATGCAATACGGTTCCAAAGGGTTGGAGAATTGACAGTACATTTCCATGGGAACTTATGAGAATTTATGGTAGTTAACGAGACATTTTGAGTCAGTTCATGGATGGTTTTTGTTGTCTCCTTGCCCACATGGAGCGGCGTTACCGTACTAATGACTCCACAATTTTTCCTCACTTCACTCGAGCGTCGACATATCCGAAGCTCGCTCATTTAAGCAAAAAACGGTTTTCAGCGAATAGCAAGAGGATGTACATTTAAGTGCCCCATGAAGAAACATGATTCAGGAATTTTTACAATCAAGTCTCACAGCCCACACCATAAGGTAGGCCTTCTCCAACAATGTTCCATCACCATGTTTCTTTGTTGTGGCTTTTTTTTTTTTTATCTGTTGTAGAACTGCGAGGTGACCCAGGCCAGCCCCCACTTGAGGTTGGTGAGCATGAACTTGAGCGCCTTGGTCCACTGCTCCTCCGAATTGAACTGAGTCTTGATGGAGTACGAGCCGCCGCTGCCGCCTGTGTCCTCGATCTTGCCCTTCTCCACGTCCATCCTGACACCACGCACAACCATCACATTGTCTCAGTATGTAGTTACTCAAGACGAAGAGACGTCGCGCTGCTGTTTCGGTTTGCTTGTGTTAGTTTATGATACGGCAGAGATGATCATCTAACCTGTACGGAAGGCAGAAGCCGGTGTCGCCTTTTTCCACCTCGTCTTTGAATTGCTGCACGCAGTCCAGGAAGGCCACCATGGCGTGGTCAAACTTATTGTCCCAGAAGAACCTCAGGCCACCCGAACAGTACAATGGAAGTTCCTGGAACACAACACACCCACAAAAAGTGAAGAGCGTGAACCTGGAGAAAATTGGACAAGAGTGGCCATTACCTTTGACTTGTCTGTAAGGGACTCCAGGTAAGAATGATTTCCATAGGGAACGAGGCGATACCTAAGTAGAGAAACAAGACAGGATAAAATCGGTTCACTGAACTATATCTTCATTCGTGTCATGAAAAAATGTGTCCGTTGGTTTACTGCAAATAAGAAAGAAAATGAGTGATCTAAACAATTTTTACTCTCGTCAGTCAAGCCTCACCTCTGGAAGCGCAGCCCCATCTTGTTGGCCAGCGCGTGCAGCAGCAGCACCGTCTGGCCCCAGGCCGCGTTGATCTCGTTCCATTCCACGGGCACGCTCGGAAGTCGTCCCAGACGGAAGTTGTTGATGGTGCCAAACTGGCCGCTGTGCCTGGGCGGGGCCAGAACCCTCCCGACGTTGAAACATGGAGCGGACGCAACACGTCATGCGGCGTACGTTGGACCTACCAGATGTGAAAAGTGGCGTTGAAGACATTGGTCTTCTTGAGTCGATCCAGTTGGATCTGGCAGTAACGCATCTGGTTGTCGACGCTCTTCAGCTCATCATCCAGCTCCAGCTGTTGACGTTTGAACTCGCTGTACTCCTTCTGGTACCTGACACACCAAATACACCAGTCAAACTCCCGCTTGAAAACAAAATGTAGCGCTGAGTACCACCACTGGCTTCAAACGGACACTCACTGCAGCTCTTCCTTTTCCAGCTGCTGGGACTGCCCGCGGCTCTGCGTCAGCTCCTGGGCCACGGCGGCCCGCTGCTCCTCCACGGCCTCCAGCTGCTGCACCAGCGCCGCCTCCTCCTCCTTCAGATGCTCCAGCTCGCCCAGCAGCGTCTCCTCGTCCTCCACCTGCAGCTGCGACAGGAGCTCCAGGCACTGCCTGAACATCCCGCACAAAATAAACCCAAAGGTTTTTTGTTTTTTTTCCAATTCATTACATTTTTTTTCGTCTGACACGAACCTAATTAAAACTTCAATCGCACAAAATAAACCCAAAGGTTTTTTGTTTTTTTTCAATTCATTAAATTATTCTGACACGAACTTAATTAAAACTTCAATTGTATGGATCATTATTCCATAGTTACATTGAAATCACAAAGTATCTTGTTGGCCTCTCATCATCATCACTTTGCCATCACTCACTTGTAATTCTGACATTCATTCTCAGTGATGTTGAGCTGTGTGTCCAGGTGGTCCAACAGGGTGTCTGTACACTCCTCGCACAGCGGGTGATCCACATCCGTCTGACCGGACATGATGTCAAACAGGTCACTCGTCACCTGCCACGACAAATACAATGTTTTAAAAGCAGCACGGATCGCATACCGTGCGGCGATGTTGCGGGCCCGTCACCTTGAGTCTGCGGCTTAGATTTTCCATGGTCCCTCCGTCCGAAGCGTCTCCGATCAGTGTGAAGCTGTTGGCGCTCTCTGTGGACATCATTCTGCTGACAAGGCCAACAGTGAAAAATAGCCATATTTATCTACTGTGGTTATCAAAAGTCTCCATTAAAAATATCCAAAAAAGACACTTAAAGAATGTAAACAATATTCAATTTAAAACATTTATTCATTTATTTATTTTTACGACAACATGCTCACCGTGCTGGGGGGATGTATTTCCTTGACACACCGTCTTGCTTGTTTTCTACAAAGGTCTCCTGAAATTCATTTGAAATATTTTTCGAGATTAAAATTAGTGCAGCACAGTAGAGTGCAGTTAATTAAATGTGCACTTATATTACTTCTGTTGTTGTGTCTCCACCACAATCCGCTTGTTTGCTGGGCGTGACTGTCACCAACGGAGCTGCGGGGAGCCATGTAGAAGCATCACATTGCCATCGAAGGTCACTTATGAGTCATTGCAGAATTGTGTGTGTGTGTGTGTGTGTGTGTGTGTATGTATGTATATGTGTATATATATATATATATATATATATACACACACACACACACACAAAGCATCAAATAGCTCTTGAGCATCATCTACTTAAAATGGCCTTTTTAAACCTCTTTGACCGATTTGCATTACAACTATAAGATAAATTACGTCTTAAAACAGCTATTTTGTTGTGGTTTGGCTGACGTCTTCCTTGCACTTGTTAGAATATTTTGGTCAATATGGTGGGAGGGTGTCTGTACACTCCTCGCACAGCGGGTGATCCACATCCGTCTGACCGGACATGATGTCAAACAGGTCACTCGTCACCTGCCACGACAAATACAATGTTTTAAAAGCAGCACGGATCGCATACCGTGCGGCGATGTTGCGGGCCCGTCACCTTGAGTCTGCGGCTTAGATTTTCCATGGTCCCTCCGTCCGAAGCGTCTCCGATCAGTGTGAAGCTGTTGGCGCTCTCTGTGGACATCATTCTGCTGACAAGGCCAACAGTGAAAAATAGCCATATTTATCTACTGTGGTTATCAAAAGTCTGCATTAAAAATATCCAAAAAAGACACTTAAAGAATGTAAACAATTTTCAATTTAAAACATTTATTTATTTATTTATTTTTACGACAACATGCTCACCGTGCTGGGGGGATGTATTTCCTTGACACACCGTCTTGCTTGTTTTCTACAAAGGTCTCCTGAAATTCATTTGAAATATTTTTCGAGATTAAAATTAGTGCAGCATAGTAGAGTGCAGTTAATTAAATGTGCATTTATATTACTTCTGTTGTTGTGTCTCCACCACAATCCGCTTGTTTGCTGGGCGTGACTGTCACCAACGGAGCTGCGGGGAGCCATGTAGAAGCATCACATTGCCATCGAAGGTCACTTATGAGTCATTGCAGAATTGTGTGTGTGTGTGTGTGTGTGTGTGTGTATGTATGTATATGTGTATATATATATATATATATATATATACACACACACACACACACAAAGCATCAAATAGCTCTTGAGCATCATCTACTTAAAATGGCCTTTTTAAACCTCTTTGACCGATTTGCATTACAACTATAAGATAAATTACGTCTTAAAACAGCTATTTTGTTGTAGTTTGGCTGACGTCTTCCTTGCACTTGTTCGAATATTTTGGTCAACATGGTGGGACTTATAGTTGAGTCTTTTTTTTAGGTGTTACTTGATGTGAAATGCTTGACGAACTCTGCGTTACATCTTCGTGTTTGACAATCCATACCAGTCAGTTCGTGGACGGTGACCCGGTCCAGTGCATTGAAGGACGTGTCCAGCTTGAGAGGCTGGCAGCACCGCTGACAAACGAAGCTAACCTGCATCGTCGTGCTCGACGTCTTGGAGCCCTCCATCATTCACAAGTACAAAGAAGGTGGAAAAAATATCGAACCCTGCCAAAATCACAAAATGCCACAATCCTAAATATCATTTTGACGCTGTGTTTTAATCCCAAACCCATGCTAAAGTTATCTTGTGGCTCAGGAAGACATGCTAGATCAGTCAATAAAGATGTGCGGTTACCTTAAAGCGATTTATACTCATAAATATTATTCCCCTGTTGCAATCGCTGGATAAATTCGACGGTCACACTGTTGGAATAAGAAATACTGTACAAATAAACATAAAACCGATGCGCGTGACGTCTGCGCTTCCTGTTTCCACTTCCGTGTTGTTATTTACGTTCTGTACCTCGTGTCCTAAAACTCGTAGAAAATTTAAGTGCGCCCTCTATAGATTGGTGAAATAATACAGATTCAAGATGACAAGCAATAAAGAAAGATTTTATTGTAATTGGTGCTCTAAAAGTAGGCAAAGTCTTTTAAAATCACTTTATTTGAGTCAGGATGGAAGGACAAAGCAACGAAGGAGATAAAGTTAATTGATACTGCAGTACAGGAAGGAAAGAAGGGAGGAATGAAGTAGCAAGTGATGCATTGACCACCCGATGGTCAGTAGAAAAGCAAAGCAGAACCCGCGATTCATTGTGCCGACACAGAAAAAAATGATTTGGCCTTTCCGTGGTAATGTTTGATTTTCGCCCTTCGATAATTAGTTGCGTGGCGAAAATATCCAACGTAAGTTGTTCAGTAGTTTTGTTTGCATTGTAGTAAAGTAATATTGTATTTATTTTACAACGTTCTGGTAGAAAACTACGGCGTTGCTTCATCAAAGCAAACGTCGTTTCTTTGTAAGACGAAAAAAAACATAACATTGAGACGGCAATGACAGACGACATTACCGTATCTTTTTTTTTTCCAACGTCTGCACCTCCGAACGAACGAAACGTATCTTCAACCGAGCCGTGTTCCAAACTTGTTTTCATGGACTTTTCTGTGAACTGGCTCAAAAAAATTCTACTACTGTACTACGACTACCACTATTTGAAAAAAACATTTTTGATACACAGTCAAAATAGCCGACGCTTGCCTTGATGATTAAATGCTGTAGTTTCACCAACCCACCAGTAAGTGGGAGGCGCTATCCCACACAGAAAGCTGCTGTTCAACAAATAACAGAAGAAGAAAGTTTGCGGGAAAAGCGAAGACAGTGACAGCGGAAGAGTGCACGAAAAGCTGGTAAAATGGTTCCCAAGTGTTTGTATATCTGTAAAACGTTGACATTTTGTTAAATCGGCGTCGTCCGTGTAATTCCGACACGGTATGTGTCGTTAAAGTCCTCAGGCTAACGCGACACTCTTACTAAATCGCAGTGGCTGATGTCATAACGCTTAACTACAACAGTGACGGCATCGCTTGGTGAAATTAGTCCTCGTTTATTCAAATGCTACTGACGTGTTGTAGAAACTTAGTAACTGTTCGTTTTGTTGCGCTTAGATTAAAAAACAAACAAAAAAACGACTTCATGGCACCACCCAAACACACCGAGGTGAAAAGAGGAATCGCAGTCCTGTGGGAGACTCTGCAGTGCCCCATATGGTAATTGCCATTAAAGAGCTAATTTAGGCATTACATTGCGTAGAACAGTCAATTTCGACTATATTGCAAATATTTTTTTATTTCCTTTCCATAAATAGTTTGGATTTGTTGACGAAACCAGTTTCTACCAAGTGTGACCATCAGTTTTGCAAGTAAGTATCATTTCATGTCATTTTCACTCCAATGAAGTTTTGTGTGTGTGTGGGGGGGCACCTTCAATTAACTCTGTTCAATGTTTAGGTTTGGAATTTAGTTAGGTTAATCCCTTATTACCTTTCAAATGCTATGTAGTCCGTACTTATACGCATGTATGTTGTTATTATTTTATTCAGCACTTTTTGTCCACCATTTTTAGGTTTTGTATGCTGAAGCTGTTGGACAACGCCAAGCAGAGCAAAGCCGACTGCCCAGTGTGTAAAGAAAAGATAACGAAGAGGTTGGTCATATTCACAATAGCAGCATGTTTGAGAGACGCTGCAAAAATATTCATAATAGGAAGGTCTGTGATTAAGCCTGAGTCTGAGACAGGGAGACCCAGCCTCTCAAAGTGTCTCAAAACATTCCTTTTTCTTCCACACAGAAGCTTGCAGGAGAGTCCGGGTTTTCAGAGACTCGTCACAGGACTGCAAGACATGATCCAGGCATATGAACATGACACCGGCACAAATTGTAAGTACTGTGCAGTCCTTTTCTTCGGTGGCTCAAGTAAAACGCAGAGACCTGAATGCTTTTTCATTTCTACATTCAGACTTGACTGGACTGGCCCAGGAAAGAAGGCGAGCTGGGTGAGTGTGCTCCATCGTCATGTTGTGAATCCAATTGCTTTCAATTGGCACTTGTCCTTTGACTGCCGTTGATCCATTTCCTTCCCGGCAGGCTCAACGATGACAAACGGGTGGATGGGACGCCCGACAATGTGGAGGATGTTGAAAAGGCTCCTCCGAGTTCTCACACATCAACTATAGCAGGTAAAAGCTTGGCGGTTGACAAACGTTGGTCCTGTTCACATTAAAATAGATGGACAAAAGTGCCGCGGCACCTACGGGAAGCGAATGGACCTTGCTTGAGGTCTGAGTTAGAAGAAATAATAGCTGTTCCCCAAACTGTTTGCACAAAGTTGGAAAGAGAACTCTCCAAAATATCGGAGTCAAATGAAGAATTAGAGGGAATCTCAGATTCCAAGAGAAGTAAGGGGTCCATCTCAAGCCCTCGTTGATTAGTTTGTTTGATTTTGGCCACTACTATCCTTGTAGTGTATGGATCATCTCATTCTGGAAGTATTCTTTGCTCCAAATTGTAAAACTGTTGCAATTCGTACTCCTTTTTTTTTTTTTTTTTTAGCTCTCAATGGATTTGCAAGAGTGATGGGGTTTGGAGATTCCGATCCTGTGGCAACAGAAGGCGAAGTTGAAGATGGCTCTGTTCAAACGTCACAATCCATTAAATCGATGGAGGCAACAGCCAATGCATCAAGACTCGCAACTCGTGGGAAAAGGCGAAAGGACCAAGTTGTGCCGGTTGTTTCGGAAATTCAACCTCTAACGCGACTCTCCAGGCAAAAGCAGAAAAAGGATGAGGTGCCTGAGCAGATCTTTGAGAACAGGAAGAAGAAAAGTAAGCAGAAGGTGGCGGAGTGGCTCATGAGGGCTCCCGCCGAGGGGAGCCTCGAGTTGGCGCAGCCCGCAGACGTTGCCCAGGCTTTCGACGATTCCGACAGCTCCGCTTCCACGCTGGACCTCCGGACGCTCGGCAAGAAGGAGCAGGTCGCCAAAACGCTCGAGGAGCACGTTTTTGGGGTCACCTACACACGAAAGCAAAGAGGGAACCAAAGAGCCAGCAACACATCGCGATCACACTCCTCAGAGAAGCTGTCCGAGAAAAGAAAGAAGATGACCGGCACCGAAGACAAACTTGTCCATCTGGAAGCGCCTGCAATCATGGACATCTCTGAAGAACCAGGAAATTGTGAGACTCAGAAGACGGAGCTGGACAAATCTCCAGAAAATGACGAGCTGACAATCCTCGGAGCCCTTCATCCGGAACGCAAGCCAACAAAGAGGTCACATAGCGCCTTGCAGGAGGTCGACTCTGATTTACAGGCCAAAGCGGAGACGGAAAGTTCGGCTCCGAAAAAAGCAGACCGGCGGCGAGGCCCCTCAGAGAGAGGCAAGTCAGCCAGAGCTGTGCAACCTCTGGTTCTTGTCGGAGTTCAAGATGGAGGCGACGACGCTAAGAGTAAGCTTCCGTCGGAGGCGGCTCAGGTTCATATCGAGAACTACCCGAGCAGCGAGGACCAGGAGGCCGCAGTCACGACGGGCACCGGGAGATCCAGGAGACTTCACTTGTCTTCCCAGAACGTTCGGCAGGCGGCTCCCCAAAAAGCCGCGACTCGCCAGGGGGCGAGAGCACTCAGGAAGGACGTCAAAGACGACGGGACGTCGGATCTTGCGGCCGCAAAGGCCTGCAAAAGTAACGGATGCGTATATGACAAAGACATCTGTGCAATCGAAAACATGGACATCTCCCATCTGGAAACTCTCGTTCAGGGCGTTCGTCCCTCTGAAAGTGAAGCAGGCGCAGATCGTGAGCCCCCTCTGATTCCAAGTTGTGCAGGTGTTTTGGGGGCGGCTCCGCGTTCGATGCAGAGTGCCCCGGCGGAAAAGGAGGACTGTCACGACAGTGAGATGGACACCGCTCAAATCCTCAGGAGCTTCAAAGACACCAAAAGGAAGTCATTCCGCCTCGCCCGCCAAAGTGGGAAGAAGAGTCGGAGCCAGGATGAGGAGCTCGCGCACAGCTCGGGAAAGAGGTGTCTTACTCGTTTGGCAGTCCAGCGTTCCAAGCAGCAGCAGCAGCAGACGACGCAGAGTTCGGACCTCACTGACCCGTCAACCTGCAGCGATTTGCTCCCCCCAACAAATTTGCCCGCAAAGAAAATGGATGCCAACGTGGTGGCCGCCCCCGTTCTACTCAGAAGTTCTATCAGCAGTGGCCTCAGTCCAAACAAAGTGACAACGCGCGAAACGGAAAGTCCTCTGGCATCCATGCTGCCTCAGGTGGTGGATTCTGGACTCCGTTTTCACGAGCGCCAGGAGATTCCAGAGAGTCCGTTTGACCCCGCCGCCACTGGAAACTCTTCAGCAAGCACATCCCAACATGTCGTCCACGCCGACTGTTCCTTGACTCCGGACGGGCTCGGAGTTCAGCCAAGCCAGCCGCCCCACGGAACCCAAACGAGCCTGCGCTCGTCCGCCCGGAGCAGCCCGAGCCGCAGGAGACGGAGGAGGACCCGGAGGCTGCGGTACTCGTCAGGCGTTGACGAGTACCGCGAGCAGCAGTCGTTGAGCAGCTCCCAAGACACGCCATCCACTTTGCCGCCAATCTTCCACGGGGCCGCTGCCCGGCCGCACGGCCACCGCGCCGACGACGCCGCTGAAGCTCACCAACACAAAGCCGACGATGTCGCCGTGCGGTGCGAGAGTCCAGACTGCATCACCGCCAGCCAGGCGTCCGTTGACTTGTTTGACTCTCCGGAAGAATGTAAGAAGCAGGCTGAGAACAGTTCACATTTGTCATTTTATACTCACATTTGTTTTTTAGCGCTGCTCTGTTATTTTTTTAAATTGTTGCAAAAAGACTTCATTTGGAGTTAGTATTTAGTGAGTCGAGTTTCTTTTTGGTGACTTTTTTTGCAGGTGACGCACCGGTGAACGATGCAAGCGTGTCTGCCGAGTCGTCGCAATTCGCAAGCGAGGTTCTCGTTACGCAGGTAAATATGTTTAAAGTATATTTCAACTGCTCAATCAAATAAAGGGAATGCTTAAACAGCACAATGTAACTCCACAAGTGTTCCAGTTACTGTATTTTTTGGAGGGGTGTGTGTGAGAGAGATCAAGTCAATTTTATTGAGTGCAATTTCCATCATGAGGAGGCTCAAGGATCAAAAAACGGCTTTCTCGACTAATAAATAAAATACAAATTGAATCACGCAGCTTTTTTCCTTTTATTTATCTTCCATGGACTCAAAATAGCGTCCGCTGGCAGCTTCTCTGCCTGCATTGCCGCCTCCATCCCACGGAGGGCCGCTTCCTCATTGGTGCTGTCATCTCCAGAATGACTGATGATTTAGCTTTGTTTGAAAAAAAAAAAAAAAAATCCCTCTCAGCAAGTTTTAAATTGCATTTTATTTACATGGGCCGCAGAGGAGATGATGCTTGTTGTTCTTCTCATCAATCATCCTGCGTTCTCCCTTTTATCTCTCCAGTGTCACGCCTCACTAAATTGATCTTCAAATCTCACTCGACTGCAAATATTGCATAAATCCCACTTTTCCTTACTGACACAGTAAAGCAAGGAAAAACCCCAAACAAAATAGCCATGAAGTCATTTGGAGTCGCCAAGTTTCCTTCCCGCCCCTGCTGATTGACGCTCACTATAGCGCATGCGTGAAATCAAGGTTGCAGTCCGAGCTTTTCACTTCTCCGCCGTTCAATCAATAATGAAGGCTCCTCTTGTTCTCCCTTCGTTGGCCAGCAAAAGCTGGAGATGCAGAAGGAGCTGCTGAGGCTGGAGAAATTGATGGCGCTGGTGACCGAGGTGCTCCAGGAGAAGGAGGCCAACTCCGCTGTGTGTAAGCAGATGGCGCCGGTTCACGCGTGGACATGTCCGAATGAGACGCTAAATAGAAGCAAAAGGGGTCCGGCGCGAGAATTGTCAACCGTCGGACTTTCTCTTCGGTTCTTCCCCGTCTCGCCAACCTTGTTCTGAACAATAGACGCTAGCATACCAATGTGTCATGTCACATGCTCTGTAGATGCTTTTAGTGAAGGTTTTCCAAATGTTTTTACACAAAATACTTGTTCTATCTCTTGACTATATTTTGTTTCTTACTGAGTTGTTGTTTGTGGCTTTCGTTAGGCTCCGATGCGCCGAAATCGGATCCACGTGACCCAAATGCAAGCTGTGATCCAGACAGGTTGGTCACGCGGGCCGCTTTGGAACATCAACAGCACGCGTCCAACGTTGCCGAGTATCCTCGCGTCAAAATCGGAAGGCTAGTTTGCCTTAAAAAAAAAAACAACACCATTTCCCCATCACATCTCTTTGAACTTGGTTCAAGACGCCACCCTTTATGTGCTGCTTATTTGTTGAGCAACGCACTTCAAATGTCCTGCGTGTGAATTGCACTTGGGCTACTACGATAGATAACCTGCCAGCAAATGCGATCGTTATCTTCTTTATCGATAACACGTCTTGCATCAGGTAATTGGGTGGCTGCCTTCTCCTCCTCCACCCGTCTGGCAGGGTTAGGACGAATAATCGCTCCAATCAACCCCCCGCCCCCCAATCTGCTGGAGGGATGACACCAGAAAAAGTCACCGCCGCCCGTATCTTTGATCGTTCCGGAGCACTCAGACGGAAACTTGTGTTGCCTGGCTAATACATGTCTTCCGCTTGACTGGTGCGGCCCTCCCTCGCCTCGCGGGGTTCGAAGCGCTCTCCTCCGATCAAAGAGGATGAGAACCTGCAAAGGGGCTCGGCAAGATGAGCTTGTTGTGCAAAGAAATGCGCGCGGCAGAAATCGAGTAATTGCAAGCGGTCTTACATGCGATGGTGTGGTCTTGATTAAAAAAAATAAATAAATAAAAAAGTTTTCGGTGCATTTTAATGGCGCACCGTTGTTTTGCAGGGAAGACCTTGGGAGAAACGCAGAGGAGCTCGGAAAGCGTCTCCGCGATGGAGAACACTTGTCTCAGCCCGCCATCGAGACGTGTAAGTTCTATCGCTCTCTCATTCGTCCCGGTAACCATGATTTGACTGAATGATTTCTTCGTTTTCCCGCTTAGCGCCGCACGCAGGACCCGCTGGGAAAAGCTGCGGCCGTTCAAAGGACAAAGAGAACACGACTCCCGAGAGAGACGGCGGCAGAGCTAAAATGATGCTGGTCTCGTCTGGGTTGGCGCCCGCCGAGCAGGTGTGCGTGCGCGCCTGCGTTGATCCCGCGAGAGTGCAATGATCCAGCCTGAGGGCATAAGTGGGGGGTGAAGGGACGCGTGACGTGCGCCAATCAGACCTGTCCTTCTCGCAGATGGCGGTGAGGAGGTTTGCTAGGAGAGTCGGCGCTCGTGTGGTTTCCCAGGTGACCGCAGAGGTTACTCACATTGTCATGTGCACAGGTAAACGCATCTGCACCCGCCGCTCGGAACTTCGTCATCGCATCATCGGACAGTGTGCGGGATTGTGCAACTATTTTTCGAAAGTCGTCCTTGGGACAGCGCCTTTTTAGGTCCATCCTGAAATGTCACCCTCGCAGTGTGTGCCTGGAAACCCAAAGTTGTTTTACCCGAGCAATTCAGAGCAGCTCTGCCGCTTTTGGCTTTGTAGTTTCAGAACAAGAACATTTTCATTTCCAACAGCACTTTGCTGTTTTGGAGATAAGCCGCCAACCTCATTCTCTTGCTCGTCGCTAATTACCCTCCCCGATAGATTATTTTTAATTCGCCCTCTCCGAAGCGCCACGTTTCGCCACGGCCTTTTAACGGGCGGTCGTTTCCCTGGCAACCAAGAAATGGGGAGGGCTTGGCCTTTTGATCCGAGCTCGTTTGAAGGTTTGGGAGGAATGGAAGGCGTGCCAAAAAAGACAAAAGGCAAATTGTTCAAATTAATGTTGCAGTCATCATAATGCTGAAGGACCTTTGTTCGTGGGGAATCTTTTTCCTTTGAGCACCACAGTAAATACAAAAACATGCCATCAATGATCCAACAAGTGTTGTTATGTAAGAACTTGGAAATCCTACTATAAAAAAAATACCCCCCCCCCCCAAGAAAAAAAATTGCTGATCCTTCGTCCCCTCTGCACCCCCTCGCCCCCCACTAGATGAACAACTGGTATGTGAGCGTACCCTCAAGTACTTCCTTGGCATTGCGGGCAGGAAGTGGGTGGTGAGCTTCCAGTGTAAGTAATGTCTTGATATATCGCTTTTTTCCCATGCCTTACTCACCGCTTGTTGCGAATTCTTTGGCCCATCCAAATAAGCGAGCTTCTCATTTTCCTCCTCTCAGGGATTGCCGAATGCTTCAAGCAAAAGAAACTGGTGGACGAGGTACGCTCGGACGCCGTCGTACGTTTCCGTGTTGAATCAAAGCCGCTTGACGAAGCTTTCCGCGCCGTTTTCCACAATAGCCCTCATGCATTATTTGTCATCCGTTTGCTTTCGCATTCACGGCATCTGGTGTCATCACTTCGCTGCGTCACAGCGTGCGCGTTATAAAACCAAATAAGCGTTTTTTCCAACTCTTACCCTTCTTAGAATGGCGGCGTGCTTGCAATATTTTCTCTCTGGTTCGCTCCATTTGCCTTGTTGTGTGTTGTGTTTGCCTTCCCGACAGAGCTTATTTGAAGTCCGAGGAGACGTGGTGAACGGATCCGATCACCTCGGTCCGAAGAGAGCTCGCACCACCGCTGACGACAATGTGAGTGCGCAACTTGGCGCTAACGAAACTTGGAAGCCCGGCCGCCATTGGATCAGGTCACCCTTTCGGCGGTTTCATATGGCATCGTCTATCCGACTGTCAAAGTCCCCGACGACGTGACTGCATTCGTTTGAATAAACGCGCACGCCGATTACCTGGCTCGCCAATCATGTCCCGAAGGACATTAGTGTTGTCTAAATTAAAAATCTGCAGCAGCGGACTTTCATCACACAAAGCACCTCTGGCTGATGAGCATTCAAATTGAAGGGGGGGGGGTGTCTTTTTCTCCACGCACGTTTCCCCTCCATACACGTGCATCCAAGCTCGCGCTGTCGGACTTGCGTGGCCGCCATGGCTCGAGGAAGCCATTGAGCGTTGCTGTTTCCAGTCAAGTGAGTTGACCCTGAAAGCATCAAAGTGCGCGCCCTCGTTGTTGAGGGGCTTGTGTGGCATTTATTTTTTCAAGCGGAGGAAACCGAATTCAGGTTCAAGCGCTTTTTTTTTTTTTTTTCACGTCGTGACTTCTGTCTCCGCAGCTTCTCATGAAGGGCTACGAAATCTGCTTCCAGGGACCTTTTGCAAACATGACCACAGGTAAACACTCAGCGCTCACGTCACCTCACTCCACTCAAACCGCAATTTTCACGCATTTTCGGGTTCCGACGTGAGCTCGGGGTTCTTGGAAATGCTTCCATTTGAATTTAAAAAGTTGATATATGTCATGAATTGCTTGACATGATTATTCGGAACGTTGTGCCTGCTAGCGCAGTTAGCTTCCATTGGACCCAAATCTTTAAATGTTGCTCCGTTTGTGTTCATCTCCCAGAGGAAATGGAGTGGATGGTGCAGCAGTGCGGAGCCACGGTGGTCAAAGACCCGCTCGTGCTCGACAGCACACGGGTGAGTCTGTCGTTGCGAAAAAGGGCCGCTCATATTTTGTCCCACTCAAGAAAGCCCTTTGGCGACGCCGGTCTGTTATGGGATGTCCTTCATGGTTTGAGCGTGGCTCTGTCACTTCTCAGGATTCCATCGCCGCATATGGTTCACGTTCAGGATGGTGTATTATTCAAATCAAGTACAAGGCTGCACGTTGTACGTGTCAGTGAAGCACTTGCCCCCCCCCCCCCATGCCAACACTGCAATTACGATGACTATTCATGACTCCGTCCGGCTCCATTCGCAGTTGAGCGTTGGGCGTGCAGATGCTAAAGAAAGCTACAAGTAGCATCAGAGCTACGTCAATTTTTTTAAAGTCTCTTGTTTTGCTCTCACAGAAATCCAATCAGCTGGTTATCGTTCAGCCTGGAACGGATCCACGCTCGTACAGCGGTAAGTTTCATATCGCACTCGGCGCACTCTGGCAACAACAGCGAACCTCCACGTGTCTCAGATATTTTCCAGACCTCCCCGCAACAAGTGAAAATCTGAAAACGCTTGATGTATGATGGCGGTGATGTGCTGTATTGACACCAGTTTGTTATCCACTGCGCAGGTCTGGCAAAGCAGGCCACGCTTGTGAGTCGCGGTTGGTTGTTGGACACGGTGGCCACCTACACCCTCCAAGGTTACGCCAACTACCTCATATGAGTCAAGAACATGTTTTACCACATTTTTATGAATGCATCTTCTGTAAAAACGTGCACACACTAAAAGACCAGAAACATGTCAAATTAAGCTATATTAAAAAAAAAAAAGACGAGTTCACCAAAACTGAAATGGTCTGAGTTTTTTTCATTTGGAACTCAGGCTGTGCAGTTGATTCACTTTTAGCCATTCAAGTTTCATTATAAATTTTTACAAAATACATTCGTTCGTAGCACCCCCCCCCCAAAAAAAATGCGACGTGAAGTGGTTTTGAATCATGCAATGCATGACACATCAATCATTGAAGTTTGTAGCTTATTTGCGCACCTTGGTGTGGTCGGCCAACACACTGGAGGCGCATCAGTGAAGACTGCAAGGTAACTCAAGAAATTCGCCCCCCACCGCCACTTTTTTTTTTTTTTTTTTTTTGGAATGTCACAGAATCCGCTGGTTGAAATGAGTGCAGTCATGCATAATAGGCAGGCGCTTTCGGTTTGCAGAACAGCAACCGCAGATTTAGCCTCGTTCGGAACAACAGCTGGCTGCAAAGAGCACGCACGAGCGCAAAACAGAACGGGAATGTCAGCGCGTCTCCTCGGAGGCCTTTTGAATGCCAGATGCGTTGGTGCCAGGATGCTGCCATCTTCCAGTCAACTGTTTTTGTTTTTTTTTTGTTTGTTTTTTGTCAGTGCTCTGAATGGGATTTGTTTTTCGCTCTATTTGGGGGGAAGGAATGTGGTGCTTGTGTCGTTTGAATGAGTCCAATCACTGAGGTTATTTTACAGTGCTTGGAATGTGCCTGCAATGAGCGGAGGCTGTCGAAGGTGAGAAAGAATCATTGCCTTGCCGAAAGAAAAAAAAAACATTTTATTTAAAAGAGGAAGTGGACATCAAGATATTGTGCAGAAAAAAATCCGAGCGAAATGACAGAGGCTTTGCTTACGGAGAACACCCGGCCTCGAACTTGTGTTGACTCGTGTATTTATTTTGGATTTCCCACAAGTTGTCACCGACAGCATTTCTCAGACTGACCAGGTGAGGGCAACAACGTGGCGCCTGAAGACGATGACTATGGAACGAGAGCCGAGTTTGTCGTATTTATTGCCATGTTCATCACTTTGATTTGGGGGGGGGGCGAAAGTCAAGCCATTTCCGGGGAATTAATCGAGCGCGGTGCACGGCTGCGGCAAGATGGCGACCAACCACGCGGGCTTATATTCGGTGAGTGAGCACACGAGTAAATGTTTGTCGCTTGTCGTCCTTTCTCACGATGTCCTTTTGCTCGTTGCCCGATTTTACAGCGTTGGAGGACTTCGCAATCCATTCGCCTTTTTCTTGATTGAATACATTGTCGTCTTTGTTTCTTTTGCCACGTTTTCAAATGTTTTGGGTTTGTTTTAAAGCTGTCCAGCTCTTTTCTTTTGTTTTAAATTGTTGCAAATTACGAAGTGGATGTAGTATGTAGTGGATGAAAACAAAACAGCTTTACAAGGCAGCAAATCATAAAACAAAGTGAAATAAAGCGAAATGGATTAATACCAGATAAGAAAGTCTGTCGCCACACTCCCTTTGCTAGTGTGTGTGACAATCCAGATGCGAAGGAGATGTCATCACCTGGCAAAAAGAATTCATATGGCCTTGAAGGCTGCAGCCTTCCCCGGTCCAATGTGTGAACTGTTGCCATGCCAACGTTTTAACTCAACAGCCTGCAACCTGAAGAAGAAAGCGTTCGAGCCATCAAACAACACCCCCACCCCCAATAATAGAAACGCTTTCTGAGGCTTTTCTTCAGGGCTGTTAATGGCCTTGCTTGTTCTATATACTTAGCCGTCTTCATGTGACATTGTTTCCTGCGCTTACATGACCTCACCGTGGCGTTTTTTTGTGATGTTGTGACCGTTGACTAAATCCGTCCAATCCCTTTCAAGGCCGAGGCGAGAAAAGACCGCAACGTGACACATTTCACTTCCCCTCCGCAAATATTTCTTCTGGAGTTTTGCCTTGAGCGTTTGAACCCTTCCTGGATTGATTGCATTTGAAAGCCACTCGGAAGAAAACAGTTTTGATGACTTGTTCCAAAGTGTCCTGGCTGAGCTGCCCATTTGGAGGTTGAAGGAGGATGTCAGTCTGTAAACTGTTGTCATCCAAAATGGAATGAAACGGCCGGGTGTTTTGGGAAGAAAATAGCCGGTGTGATATCATTGAACTGAAGAGTTGAAAAGTTTGAGCGATGCGGAAAATCAAGGTGATCTTTGTTTTTGTTTTAATTTCATTGTCACATAGATAACATCCACTTTTTCTCCCCTTCCATTGGAAGTCACCTTCCCCGTGTGAAACAATATTCATTTAGCGACATGAATACGTGGTGCTACTCATCAAAGCACTTGTGGGTTTTAGGAAATTGGCGGTCGACTTTCTCGTCCGTGATGCAGGTCGATGGTTTGTCTACCGACGTCCGACGCTTGGTTACGGATCGGGAGCCGCACCAAAACAAAACTGTACGCTCGACCTCGCATTGTCCTCCCCCCTCCAAGCGGCGCAAAGACTAAATAAATTAAGTTTCTTCCCGGCTCACATGAGCACGCAGCTCTTGGCGCGCGCCTTCCTGATGGCGGGCGGGCGCTCGTGAACGTCAGTCCGAGGCGGTTGCTGCGAGACCCGCCTGAGCCCCCGCCGTGAGCCGGCGCGCTTCGGCGCCGGCCGGGGGCCGCGCGTCACGGACGCCAGCGTGGTGACGTGGAAGACGTCGCGGACGCTGTTCTCCGAATACTTGGAGGTGCACTCGGCGTAGGCCGCGGCGCCGATCTGTCTCGCCAGATGAGTACCCTGCGAGGACAAAAAAGGCGCTTGTTTGAAAGGAACCCTCGTGTCAGTCACCTGATGAAAGACTGGGTCTGCACCCAAACAATGAAGGGCAGGAAAGTGATTCTTTGCGGCGGTCCTCTCGTTAGTTTGCCAACAGTGGAAAAAGACGAGGATAAAAGAGGTTTGCCTTCATCCATATTCCAACTGAAGTCGCTTGATGTCGAAGGTAAAAGCCGAATGTGGCAATTACTGTCGGCGCAATGAGGGTTGTTGGCTTTTCGTTGATGGAGAATTGGAAAAAAAAAAGAACAAGTGGTTGGATTCCCAGACTCGGGAATTCACATTGACATGAAAATGGTCGATTAATAATTCATGCGGGGCAACGCTCCTTTCTCCAAGAGGCAAGCACAACCAATGTGGCGGCGCGCATCCCTCCCGTGTTTGTCTTCCCGCTTTGTTCGAAGTTTTCTTGCGTTTGTTGAAGTGAATCCGCTGCAAAACCGAAAATTTTCCAAGAGTTTGTGTGCGTTTGTTTCAGGGGACGTTCTTGAGTGGTGGAAGACTGCGCACGATTGATTGGGATGAGGGGGCAAAAGGGAGATTTCTCCTCACCTGTTCATGGGTGACGGGAATGAGTCTGTGTTTGGAAAGCTCCCTCATGATGTTGACGTCCGTCCTGAGGTCCAACTTGCAGCCCACCAGCACCACTTTGCTTCCTTACCTCTGGTAGAAATGAGTGATCAACGCCGGTTTGATTTGCAGTTGGAACTCATGTGTCTCATCATAGGGGGAAGTTTTGTAGTGCTGCAAACACAACCTACGAGAATGGAGAAGAGCACAGAGTAAAATTTTAGCAATGGGTTAAAACATTTTTAAAAAAGCAATGAGCAAACGTGACCTACTGTGTAAGGAGGAAGAGTCTGTCATAGGGCAAATCTAAGAATGTTCTGCAGGTCACAACTACTTCCAGGAGATGGTGCAGTTTCCTCAGTCGGATAACCTGCTCCTGCAGATCCACCTCTGTGTTCAGGTAATAACTCTGCGTGGAGTCAAACATACTCAATATCTGCTTTACAGCCGATGGCAAAAATGTCTCCAAGCTTACCAAGTTGTTTGGAGTTGTCAATTCTTCCCCTGAGGAAAAGAGATGAAATATCGTAAAAAGGCAATGCATTTGCTATACAGGTTGCGCACTCCATTTTGTATGACATGTATGTATCAATGACAAATAGGACAATCCCTTGGGTACAAAATACTGATTCGCAGTGTTGTTTCGAGTGTACCAATGAGGTAGTTGAAGTAATCTTTCCTCATCTTGTCAAGGCCCATTTCTAACAACATTTGGATAGGTGTGAGGTCTGTAAGCGACACGTGCTCGATCTTCTGGTGGTAAGGCTGCAGGATGAGCTTGCAGAGAGAGCTGCTATTGTCTCTGTGAATCTGGTGGCAACACAAATAATATAAATTACATGGCAGTCAATGACGCAGCCTGTCATTTCTCTTTGTCAAGCAGTTGAGAGAAGCCTTACCCACGGCTTGATGTAGCCGTAAGTCAGGGCCTCGATGACCAATTTCAGGCTGTCTTTAACGTCTTGATAGCATACAACACCTGGAACATGATTTTTTTTTTTTTTTTTTTTAACCGCTGCTTGAGTTGTGTTACAACCACATGAATTCGGGTTTATCTAATGACGGAACTGACTCACTCTTTCTCAGGCGAACCCACAGCTGCTCCACAAAATCCAAATCACCTCGCACCAGGAAAGAGTGAAAAAGCGGAGGGTCGGTTTCAGGGTCTGTCTTTAGAAACAAACAAAAGAATATAAATAGGTGGGATGGGGTGTCAGCCACACTCAGTGAAAAGGTCAAGTGTTAACCAACTACCCGTCAACTACACAATGCTGTTTACATAATGTACAGTGAACAGTTCAAAGATCTTTTATAAAATCAGGTATATTGAGAAATTAATATGGTATTTCTTTTTAAATCGGGCATATTTTATATTCATTCTGCGACAACACCACTTGATGTCGTGGTTCATACATTGTGGACATTACATCAGCGTTTCCCAACCGTTATTGAGCCAAGGCACATATTTCACTCAAGCTAGCTCTTCACAGAACACCAACAAGTCGTAACTTCGAAATCAAGGCGCTGTATCCTGAATCCCGTCAAGTCTTGCGTGTTAGCCTTGAGGCGAACTGAAACTGTAGCGTTTCACGTAAACCCAACTGGACACGCGTGAAACCAGAAACGTATCCTTGGCCCCTCATGACGCTAATCTTCAACAAAATCTCGATCTATCCCCGAAGGGGGGGGTGGTTCCTTGTTGAGTTCGAACGAGCGCGCATGTTCCCTCTCGTCTTCTCTTGTTCTAATTAGGCGACTCGTCTTAGACGCCCCCCCCCCCCCCCCCGGGGG